AGATGAGGCATCGAACCAACTACAAAATGTTTTAATTTTAATATAGGTAGGCCAGAGTCTCGACACAAATAAAATGCCTCAGGTCTGTGGTTCCTTAATAATAGCCCTCTGCTGTCTTAAAATAAAAAAGAATTGGATTATTGTATGTATGTTTGTACAGTACACATGTAATACATACATACGTGTCAGTTGTCACTCAAAATTTTCACTTTTGTTGTAAAGTTAGAAATTCACAAACTGCCAGTATCGTTCAATGCTGTTTTCGAAGATACATAAAGTAAATGAAGTATAATATCTCTGTGTCTGCCTCACTCAATACCTTCTTACCTATACGAAGCGTTAATAGTACCTATTCTTATAGTCCTCAGTTGGCGCAGAAGTGTATTTTCCCCCTTTCTCCAAAATACCGAATAGGTACTGTTGTTTGTAAACAAGTACGCAGGGCATGACGATATCGTTTGTGATTAATCCAAACTACAAAGTTAAATAACCAACGTGAACTAATTGTGTTGTACGGTTAAAATATTACAAGCATTAGCGCACGCTCTTATTGTATTTTACAAATTCGTATACAAAACTGTTTAATAGTTTTGTAAACACACGTGTTTGGGGGAACCATGATAACGAGCACCCAACAATAGCGCTGTAGTTTTCTTTCCAGTCAGTTGATCACTCACCATGGCGTTCTTAAGATTTCTGCTTCTCATCCTCACAGTTTTATATTTCTCAAGTGACTGCGTAAGTTTCATTTTCATACTATTTTCTCGATAATTCCTTTTTTAAAAAAAATACAGTAATTCAACCCGAACATATTGTCGTTTATACTGTTTTACTTTCAATACAATTTTGATTTCTCCGATCATTACCTCATGACTGAGGATCGTGATAATTTTAGCATCATTCTGAATCGTACGAATTGTCTCCATCGGCTCCTTTCTGCGGCCATTTGTATTGTGGTGTAGATCCTCGATGCTGGATTGTCTTTGAGCTGGTCAGACCATGTTATAGGGGATCCCTTTTCCTCTCAACATTTTCCAAGACAGTAAGCTTCTCCAAGCTATCCTCTCTAGGTTTCACTATATGTCCGAATGAGCTCATGACAACAGTATTGATAAAAAAATTATATAAAAAATTGTCACCGCAACGCAAGAATAAATATTAAGTAGAACCTACTTAAGAATAATCTTATGTCAACGTTGCATGTTATAAACTTGTTCAACGACCAGGTACTCCAGTATTATGTGAGAATATTTTTGATACAAGAAGATATCGGTATTAATATGTAATCCAATTATTGGCCCATATTTTCCCATTTGAACGTTAATTTTCCATCCTTTCCAATTAACGATAGTCTAATACAAAAGGTTGAGCGTAAAATCCAATTTAATCCCAAAGGTGCGGTCACAGTCAATTTTATTGATTTTTATTGTAATTAAGTACCTACTGAAAAATTTATTGGTGAATATAATAGGTCTTTATCTATGAAATTGCCGTTTTGTATGAAATTTGTTCTTATTTTCAATAATCGAAGTAATCGTCCATGCATTCAATGCATCTTTGCCACTGCAGTAGCAGTTTATTGATCTTAAACGAAAGAAATCAGCTGCCTTTTTTAATGAAATCAGCTGAACGGGAGGCAAGAAATTCTTTAAAGGCATTTTGCACTGTCTCTCGAAGTCTCGAGTATTGAACTATTCTCCTGCCAATGCTGATGTGCTCGCTTCTCCATCATTGGTTCAGTTCTTCACAGAACACATCTGCAGTAATGCTCACCCCGTTTAGTAAGAAACTGTAATGAACCACACCGGCGTTAGAGCACCAAACAGTGACCATCACTTTTCTAGGGGTAAGTTTACGTTTAGGGCATTGTTTAGGTGCTAAACCAGGATCCAACCAACTTGCTGATCCATGTTTTATCGCAGGTAACAATGCGGTTCAAAATTGCTTCATTTGTATGTCTGTTGAGCAGTGCAAGGCACGTCTCGATGCGTATTTTACGCTGGCGATCATTAAGTTCGTGGGGTATCCATTTGTCAAATTTTTTTACCTCGCCAATTTGACTCAAATTGACCAATAGTTATTGTTTTGACGCTAACATCGAAAGCTGCTACTAATTCAGCCGTAGATCATCAGCATCCACTATGGCCTTTAATTCGTCATTGTCGTCCCAGCCTTCGGACGAGGTTCATTTTTCAGATCGAAATTTCTAGACCAGAAGCGAGCAAACCAATAACAGGTGGTGCGTTGGTTTGAAGTGTTAGCTCCATAAACGGCAATTTTATTGGTGAGACGTAATAATTGTGTAATGTTTTGCACCATCACTGGCGACCATGTTGTACCTTATAACTACTACTACTACTAATCACTTTTATTGTAGAATGTACAGGGTGTAATTAAGATACTTAATTAATAATTTAACTTTCAGTATTGCAAGATAGTTCTCCCACATAAACTGCGATACTTGGAGAACATGTTGAATGCTGAGGTTGTGGCTAAAGCAGCGAAGATACGACAGCGGATGGAAGCTAACCCGAACATTCCTGACATGGACAAAGGCTGGCCCATGCTATTGGGTCAGTATCAAGCCGATGACAAAAGTAACATCAACAGTATACCCAAAAACGTCTATCCAAACTTATACAATAGACGTATGTCCAACTTTTAGTGTTAGTGAGCTTTCAATTCTTATTATTGTAGGTACCACATTAAGCTTAGTCTAAGTGAATTAAATATTTGACTACAAAATGCCGTTTTTTTTTCATTGCACCGATATTTTCGTTGTCAATTTTGCAACTAAGAACAGTAGCAGATCTACTAGTTTTTTTAATTAAGTAATACTTATGAGTATTAATTTGACTCATAACAAAAAAAACATCTAAGAACCTAATTTGGTTTTCTTACTTGGACATAGCGTTATTTGGCGAAGCAAATATGAATTATTCAGTACACGCGTATCAAACTTTGTGCACCAAGAGGAAAAAATATTTTATCTCTATACTAAAATACGGACGCTGTCTTATTTGCTGCCAAATATACATTCGGTATAATATACATACCTACTTATGTGTGTTTGTACCTAAGCCAGTAGGTAACTATCACACATTGTTGATTAATTTCAGCAAATAAATCTGACAAATCGGTTTCGTAAATATAAACATAACATATTATATGTTGGCTGTTGAGTTTCACCTAATTTCGTTCGATAGTTTTAGCTTAGATACCTACTTAATTAGAAATTTTATTATATAATATTAAATTATCACTAGCAATACTTAGCGGCTTTTGCTCGCGTGGAAGTTGATTACACGTGCTTATTTGTTTTAAATATTAACCTAAATACAAAGTTTCACGGAGAACCTAACGAGTTACCGGGGCTCCGGCTCGACGTGCAGGAGAAGGAAAGGGGTGGTTTTTAGTCAGCAGCAGTCATTCGATGATTTTCCCCCTTAAATAAGAAAAATACATAGTTTTGTGGTTTTTATTAAAATTTTCGTGAGACACTAAATTATTTTTAATGTTTTCGGCTCACTCACGTAACTGTTTGACGAGTGTGGGCGGCGGCGACTGTCAGCAGCGCGACAGTCGCTACTCTATAGGTACAGGACCATACCTTTACTTGGCTCAGCAATTGTTTCGGCGTGAAGGGCCGTCTCATATTCCATAGAATACCGATATACAAAATTTTGTTTATTTTACTTTCAAAGTGAAGGACTTTCATACAAACTATCCTTCCCTATTTGACCCTATTTGACTAAAAACGACCCCGTTCCTACTCCTGCATTTCGAGTCTAACTGGGCAAACAACGTAGGTACGGTATAATTTTTTTCTCACCTTTCAAACCATCCCAGAACTTCCAAGAACATTTAAAAAAATTGCCTAATCTGTTCAGCCGTTCTCAAGTTTTAGCGAGACTAACGAACAGCAATTCTTTTTGATATAATGGATTAAATATTTTTCGATTTTTGATTTGCCAGCGGTAGCACAGTCTGGAATTGTGCCCAGCTTAATATAGGTAGCTACTTCACAACCTCACACCAGCAATAGGCTCCTCTGCTTTGCTATATAAATAGGATATGTAACTTAACTGATGAAAAATGGATGTGCAATGTGCATTGTACATAAAAAGACGTTGAGAGGTGCACATAATGAGTTATGTGCTCTGCCTACCTCTTCGAGAATAAAAGCGTGACGTTGTAGGATAGAGTAGGATAAAGCAGCAGAGCAACACCTATAGAAAAACGCTTTTATGTCTCGTTTAAACTTTCCATCGAAATGAAAAGAATCGTTATTTTCTATAGCAAAAATTCTTCCTTCCGTATTACGAATTCCTTTCAAGGATCATCGTTTATCTAAAGAACCTAGCCCTCTTTTCGTATTGATCGTTCGAGTGGTCGATTCATCCTCAAGGTTTTATATTCGTTGAAAGTTACTGGAAGGTATAAAAAACAGGAAAAAATACTGCACACATCGAACGACTTATCGTCCTGTCTTTGGGTACTTTCTGTCGCAGACAATTGATTGATCTACAAAGGAGAATGCCTATTTATCTATTTACCTTCTTTTTTATTTATAACACTGAATCATAAAAAGAAAATTAATTCTATAAAATAAGTAAAAACTATAAAAAGGTACATTACTTAATATGTCGGTATAAACAATTGTAGGTACCTCTACATATATTATGAATACACGAATATAGAATACAATCTATATTCCGTGTATGTATATGTAGGTACCTACATATAGGACATTTAACCTAACTACTTATAAGCATGTCAGTTTGAAAAAGTTTTTACTAATGCAGAAGAAAGAAAACTATAGACTATAGGGATTCCGGTAAACGAACGCGTTGACTAATATAGAATGTCAATTTCAATTAGGTACGTGGCTGACAATGTGAAAATTCGTTGTTGACGATTTATTATGAATAATTCATTGTTCCTGAGCCCAGCACCGCTAAAATGATTGATTTATTAAATAAGCAATATCGCAGCACAATATGTTGTGCGTAAGACAAGAAATAGGTACCTCCACAATATTGCATGGTGACAACTATTGGAATTGTATACAGCGTGAAGTTGTGGAAGATAAGTATAGAAAATGCGGGCTTATGAACATAATCCAACATATAGACATATGTGGCTCATATAAAACGACTTACAGAGAGCAGTATCGAACAAAATCAGGCTTTAATAAAAACGAAGTTTTAGTGACTTCAATCTCAAGTACACCGAGCTCACCGGCCCATGTTACACCAAACGCGTCACTGAAACAAGTAGACTCCAAAATAAGTAGGTTTTCAATTGTAACAAAAGTTTCTGGTCTTTATCCTGGAAACGACATTTTATCGAAACGTCCGAAAAAATACAAACTTGTTGGGAACAAATCATCTTATTTAACTGTGCCTAAATAAAAAATGTGTAAAACTGTCGTCATCTCATAAGTTATGAAGTTAATATAAAAATATACCCAATCATTTATGTTAGTTTGATTAATGTAGGTTCTAACGTAATCTTTACAAAGTACCTACTTTATTTAGATACCTACCTATTAATATCCATTAAGACCATTAAGATCATTAATACCTAGGCTGTAACTATCCCTCCCTATGTATAAAAAGCCTCGGGACTCTTCTTACACGTAGAATGAATGGGCATTAATCTCCACGTTTGCTCAAGGCAGCTTAGCTATTTCAAACGGAGATTATAAGGTATCCTCACAAATTTTACCAAGGTAGGTATACCTACTTTCATTCACAGTCTGTTAATTGTGTCTAAGTAATCTTAGAAAGTATCTACCTACTTACTTGTCTCGGAAAGTTTTCATTCTGATTTGGTTTCCACCAAAGGCCTGACAGGATATTTCCAACCAAAGCGAAGAGATGTGGGCAGTGTGAGAGATGCAACCAAAACGAACCGGCCCACTCGAATGAACATTTCTTACCACGCCTTTATGGAAACCGGGCTTCATGCTTGAGAAGCTGGCGGCTTAACCTTCGGGTCACCAATGACTAATTGATCGTAGTCTTTATTAATAATAGTCTTTGACTCGTCAATAGCCTACGAAAGTCTCATAGTCCACTGTCAGACTATAGGCCTCAACTACGTACCTACTGTGTCTACGTACGTAAGAACAGTGCACCTCAGCAGATTGGATGGAGATCACAGTTTAAAATGCTTGGGATCAACTAGGTACCTGTTGATCGAGTTACCGCAGTCGCACCCGCCGAGCAAGACGTTCTGGTTTCCATTCTTACTATATTTAGGGCCGATTTGTCCAGTCATATAAATTTTAACTGAAGAATAACTTTGAACTAAAAGCTATCAACTGTCAATTTTATTCTACAGTTATGAATTAAATGATTTTGAAACCCTCAGTTACAGCAAGCACGAATATTTATCGCGTCCGTAACGTAACAGTATCGAGCACGTTTGGCGCTGTGATTGGTTGGTACACTGAAGCCGGTCAATCAGAGCGCCGAAAGCGCTCGATACTATAACGAACGTTACGATAAATAGGTTTCGAACCTACACCCTCATGCATGAGAAGCGGAGCCACCTCGACATGCAAGCTACGACAAAAGCAAGATTGGATGTCCGAAAACTATTTAATACTTACTTTCTCGAAAAAGGTATATGATGTACCAATTAAATATTATATGAATCTAAATCATATCACTGCGTTAGCGCTGGTGGTACAAGGTAGTACTAATTATGTTACCTATTAAGTTGATACTTAAGGACGACACAGGATTAAAATAACACTCAAAGATATTTTTGTCTATCATTTTATTAGTTATTGGAAATACTTTTCCGAATCACAATAATTAGGTATGTAACTACAATAAGTGTCATTAGCACTGCTATCGAATGGATAACGGCTAAACACAGATACGTAGCTTATCTTGAGCCAGGCCCATTAATACAATTTGTTAAACAAACAAACTGTATTATTTAGACACGATTTAATTGATCAATAAGCATGGGATTTAGGTACTCAAATTCTGTTATTACGTCATAAGTGTGTACAGCTAAAATTTTTCGATTCCGGTAGATATAGATATACCATATCTGGTTTCTGCAGGACTTTTGTCCAGATACTTCACTAAATTCTATTGTATCTAAAAATGGATAAGTATTAAAGAGACACAAGATTTGTAAGACTTGCAACTGCAATTGTGTGCCGTTCAGAAAGTTTTCGGGTGCATCGCTGTACCTCAAGTACATGACTCTCCGATGTAGGTAACTATAAGAAACAGGTTTGTCTCGGGCCTGGCTCTACTCAGTTTCCAGCATTTTCCACTCAGTTTAGTCCATTCTCGACCCCTCAGCCCCCAATAATTTACGTTTCCACTGGTTCCTAATTATGATGTATTCTCGTCCCTTGAGGGCCGAGAGTGGATTTTTATTAGTAGTAAAATTTAAGTTTCCTCAAAGACAATTGCAAAGATTATAATCTGTCTACCCTATAGTTCCAAAATTCCCTCTGTACAATTTGTATGTGATTGTTCATTGTAAACACTACGTTTCAATTTTTTATTTTTATTTTTTTATTTTCAGCCGTGATCGTCCCACTGCAGGGCAAATGTCTTTCTACCGTCCTTTCACTCAAGTTAAGTTACCTAATCATAATATACAAAAAACGCCTGCCCATTACAAAAAAGAAATAAAAAATTCTCTAGTGACTTTTAAAATTTTGTTTTGAAGTCGACTACACCAAAATTAATTTTTCGACCTAGGGGTCGAAAGTGGACTAGGTCTGCCTGTATTTTGTATGAAAATCCATTCTCACCCCCAGTGTCCAGTTTGAACTATAATAAGTAGTCGAGTTGACACCAATGAGCAAATCTTTTTTAGGGGCTTAGGGGCCGAGGGGCCGAGGGGCCGAGAGTGGACTAAACGGAGACTTCTACCTGCCTACCTACATACGTTGACACAATCAAAGCTCAGTCTCCCAATATCATATTTACTTCAGTTAAAATGGTCTTTCAATTTGTTAGTACTTACTAAAAATTCTGCGGTACACAGTAAAGCCACTTAGTGCAGTTGGCATTTTTAGGAGATTTCATTATTATTTTCAGTGTATACAATTGTTTTGAGGGTAAATTGCGATTATTCAATATGAAGGCAACTGTAGAAGTAGTTAGTCACCACATTCGTTAGACACATTTATAACAATAGTGAGTGCAAAAGACATTGGTATTTGCTGTGAAGTTTCCGCCAATGGATTCGCCTGGTCTACAACAACAGCGTTAGTAGGTAGGTCCCTACGGATAGCACTCTGCTAGTGCATGAATCGTTGCACAAGAGTTATACAATTATGTAGGCTAAGCTTAGTTCTTATTTTTACGAAGCACCTTAATATATAATTTATAGAAATGTTGGTAATATATAAATAAATATAGATTTAGACAAAATAATTCCAATATCTTATAAACAGCTAATTGTACTTTTAATTACATAATTAGAATATATAGAATGAATTACTTTGACATACAGGGTGGAAGAAACAAATTTTAAACACAGAATCTAAACATTCGTATCATATTCACCTACCCATGGTACGTAAAATGGGGTGAATGGGGATCGAGAGGTGAATAGGGACAGAAGACGGGTGAATAGATATTCTAAATATTAAGTAAATAGTAAATTCTTCATAGTATCGATTCACCCCTCTTCTATCTCTTTTCGCCCTTCAAACCCTATTCACCCCATTTTACTGTTATCAAGATTTTATTTGTTATTGGTAATTTAATCATCATTTACCTTTGAATATGGCACCTATGTATAAGAGTGGCAGCAGCAAACCTACCTTCTAATAAAATATATAAAATGTAATTGATATAAAAAAGCTTGCTACGAGTCTATTGTCACTAATTGATGATTCCACACCTATGCAAGCAATTACTTTATTTTTAATTATGTATAAAGAATATTACTATTTATACTTCATAGGTTATCTCATAAAATATATTATTAGTTCTCATAAATATTTTTCTACTTTATTGGCTGTGAAAATATATTCTATAGATATATTTAAACATATAAAATCTGTGTCGTTTTTTCTACCCTGTATGATAATTGGTAATGTGGGTTTCAAGTTATAAATCTTAGAAAATATGTCTTGTCAGAATTCGCTTTAATATAGTATTTACTATGTCTTTCTAAAATTGTATCCAATTATGATAAATCAAACACGTGTATCGTATTAATTACATCATAATTCAAAATAAATAAAAGTGCATACTTAAAAACAAAACAATTCATAAGTAACATAAACAAAGATTTAACATTGGGAAGAAATAGAAGCACTTACATCGCTCAATGAGAACGAATATTTATTATAAATACTAAAATTACTATTAATTATTATACACCTGGAACTTACAATAATCGTCTACAGCACATAATATACAGATACAAATATCATTATTACTGATAATTTGAAGTAATTTACAAAGTATTGATATGTACAGTATTTTCAAAACTTTTCATAATCATTTCATCTATAATAAATAAACATGTAATAAATATGAAACAAAATTAAGCGTAATACACAATATATAATATTAACTCAATTCATACAAATATACATCAGTAAACTCTAAGAGAACGACACGATATATTAATTAAAAGTTGTCCAGCCTTTGGGAACACTAGTGTTGGAATCTTGTCGACCGCTCGAACCTTCGGAATAGTCTAATAAACCAAATTGGCTAAAATCTAGTCCATATTCGTGTAAGAGAGCACTGTCTGTGGATTTGATTTGTTCGACTTTTTGATTTTTATCACGACACTTGAGTGGATCGAAATCTTCTAGGTTTGTCGGCGAATCATCCAGTTTAATGAGATCAGAATCAGAGCCACACGACTGAAAAAGAAATATGTGAGTTAAACAAGCACGAAGCGATACACTTTCCTTGATAGGCCTCGTATGCCAAGTGTCATCACCGTAACAAATACAAAAATATTATCGGTAGCTAGATAATGGCTCATTTACATTAGATGTACTTTATGTACGAACTGTTTATGAAACAATTTTAGTGAAATATGTGTTAATTTGTGGCATGCATATATAAGCAAAGTGTAATATCACGAATTCAATTCTCAAACGTTTGGAGCTAAATGTCTACAACAAACAATATATCCATATCATGCAATAAAAGATACTAAATCCAAAGTTCATAGTTATGTGCTGTTCAAAATTAAATAATGTAAATCAACCATAATATTTACTTTATAAATTAAATTGTAACTGTATTTGTGATTTGCCATTGGACATAATAACTAAATTGTCTTTATAATTGACTTAAAATATCAATTCAATATTATTTTTCATAAAAATATCCGATAAAATCAATGCCCACCATTTTAAATCATATATTAGTTGGATGTGCTGACGCAAGAGTTAATTTTTAAACGGTTTTATTCACTTATTTTATTATTATTCAATCGTTAGTTTCTAATATCTGGGTAACTCAAAACATATTTATTTTTAATAGTACTTAGTACATTTCTATTGAAATCAGGTTTCAGAGACGTTGAGCGTAACGCTGGTGTAAGTATTGTATTAGTAAAAACCATTAAGTTACTTACATAATACATATGTCCTGGCTTAATATTTGTTTAATGCATTACAGTGTACAGAAGAATGAAAGTGCGTAAGCGCTCGACGGCTCATTATTACTTACAAGGTTGCATTTCACGTACGCAGCCTCATTAAAGTCAATTAACACATTGCGTATAGAGTGTAACTACTTCTATTAAATAAAAATCCAATATTTATGCATACTTAAATATATTTAGTAACATGCATTTGCAAGTTCTATGTAAGCATGATCTTGCTAGAGGACGACAAACAGTGTATTATATACAAGTGCTCGTGTCATTATAAAATAATAATTTATATGTAAGTGTATACCTAAGTACAGTATTAAGTGACGCACATTATTGAGCATCCCACTGGTTTTATTGCATTCTTGTGAATTTCTAATATATTATATGGAATACTACGACCCGCTTACGTTCTATTCGAAGTAGGTTGATTTGCATAGCATATGTCTACTTAAATACTTAAGTGTGTTTACCAGCCGCGAATGTCCATACAAACTTTCAAGTCCAAATTCATAGAAACTATTAAACCGATTTTAATGAAACTTGGTACTTGTATTCAATATAATTACAGGTCCTAAAAGTAAGGTTAAAAATATTAGAAAAATCTTTTTTGAAGACTTAAACTTATTTAAGTTCGTACGGAAACTCTAAATTGTTTCTCTCTCACTCTCTCTCTCTAATCTTATTATATAATGTAAGCCTCGATGCAGAGAGAGAGAGGAACAAACGTATTTTTTTATTATTTAATACGTCAGTTTTTTTAAGGTTTTAAATCATAATAAACGTTTTAAACCTTGATACTTATTAGTCCTTGCGTATGAGTACCACATTTCATTAAATTCGGTTGAGTAGTTTTCCTGCATATGCACGTGAAAGTTTTTATGAAAGCCCGTGTCGTGTAAACGCCCTTAAGCCGTCGTGAACATCGAGGTGGGACAAGAAATCGGATGCATATAAAAAATGGTCTTACAGATAATATAACTGGAGGTATTTAATATTTTAGTGAAATTTATAACCATCTTCAAAGTACACATTCTTACTGTTAAAATTTGTTAAAATACTTTGGAACATGTCTAGGAATACATGGATATTAATTCATAATCTTCAATGTACCGATTCCAGTCAATATAACATTGACCAATTACAAAACACTTAGATAATAGATACTTCCAGTATAAGACGACTTACAAAATATTTGTATAGATGATATGTATAAGAGAACATACTAGTTGCTTAGACTAAATGAAACTTATTGTATAGTGATACAACTGGTCACTTTTGACTATCGAGTATCGGCTGTACCAAATTTTACAGTTAAGGTACTAATCCTCAAACCGACAGAATTATAATTCTTAGATAACATTAAACGAGTTTTACTTTAGGATTTCAATGGTATTGTTTGCTTCAGTTTTCGTCCCATCTACATATTAAAATAATTGAAATTTCTATGATTACTTTTATTAGGTACCTATGTAATGCAAATCATCCTTTTCCTAATAACTTTAATTGTTTTTTTCAGCATTTGTAAACTAAACTTACATAAAACGAGCTAGCATCACAATATGAGATCATAACGATTTATCCTTATTAACCATAATTATTATGATCGGAATATCAGTAAGAAAATAATTATGCAAACCATAGGAACACTTACGTGGGCCACATATAGAATAATATAGTATAAAGCACTACATTTCAACCTTAATAAAATTTTAGCAAAATTATAACTCATTTAAGGTAGCCTTAAACGGATTCTTTTAAATTATTGAAGTCGGTATGTCAATAACAAAATATAATTAAGCAATAATTTACAATAATCATAATCAATTCTATAAAAGTAACATAATTTGTAATGGAACTAGAGGAGGGGATAGATTCTATTTCATCGCCCATGATAACAAAAATAGTGAGTCATTCAATAGATTGCTTATAAGCATTATAAAGTACAAAGCTAAAGAGAAGATATAAAAGGATTCGTCATCATTAAAATAAAAATATATTAATTTAATTTTTAATCACAGACCACAACTGGGAATAATCTATATTTGTGCTTGGCACACATTCAAGAAATCATAAGTTTTGACGATAAAGATTAAAGTAAATACTTCATAATATTAATACATACTCTATATGCTATCGAACATTAATTTAGATACATTTCATACAGAAACGAATAACTATAATAGCGTATCAAGACCATTAGTGGAAGTTAATATTTCGCACGATATGATAAACATCTACATCATAACCGTGTACATTGTTACACCCTCCACATAATGAACATTGGACGTCATAATGTCTGCTTTAGATATTATAGATAATAAGGTACACCTAAACTACTGCTACGTTTTATGTATAACGACACCTTTTCACCGTGCTCCAAATTAAAAGCAAGTAAACTGCAGAAGTATCGGATTACTGTAATTAAAGGGTCGTTATGTATTAGATAAATATTATTTGTAATCATGAACAATATAATCTCCAGAATTAATGGTTAGGTAAGTATATTGTATTACTGTAAACCTCGGCTTGTTAGTGCAAACATAATTTCACTCTTGCAGTTCAAGGCATGAATTCTATAATTTTCTGCTTTACAATCATATATAAAATCGATATGATTACAAATGTGCATATCAGAATTACCTCTTGAATTTTTCCTTTGTACGAAGGTAGTTCGGCGTTGGGTCCCACGACGAGCCTGGGCCTTACGCCCTCTTGGCTCGGTCTACCTACAGAGGGTACCGTAAGTTTCGGCGCTGTGCCGTTACATGGCGATTGAGAGGTCGGCAGTGACACCTTCCTTTGATTCGTTGATAGGGTCAACTTTAATTTTGCTTTATCATTGCCTTCGGTGAAGCGTATCGTGCTGGTGTGAAAGTCTGGTGTAGTATTCACATCATTTTTTGTGATGTTACTGACAAAGTGTAGATTTTGGAGCGTCGAAGTAGGTGTCGCACGCGGCGGCGGCATGGGCGCATCAGATAAATCAATTAGTTTCCTCGTGGAAATTATTGGGTAACGGACTGGGAGTTGGGGACGTTCCGGTAACCGGGGTGGGAGACATGGTGACAGTGTTTTCTGCAAAATAAAATTAAATGATGTGCCACGGTGCTCCTAGGAGCGTTCATGCTGATATCGCATTCACATGGTACTAAACACAATAATGTGGACAGTACAAAAAGAAAGCACAGTTTTGGTGTATGAAAGCCTATTACAGTAATAAAAAAAGCATAACATTTCAATGAAAGACCATAGATGAGATACCTTTTAAATACAAATGTAAGTAAAGCTTTATTATGGACAACTAAATTACCATTTACATACAATAATTTATAAAGAATATAAAACAATAACTTTAAAAAGGTATCAACTCTACGACAGCTATTAATGAAAAAATGTAATCACACCTTCGATACGACCCCAAAATAATTTGATTTCAAAGCGACCTCGCTTCCCTCTTTTGTCTGAGAAAACAAAATTGTCATATATTCTAACGATGTAACTCAAATTAAATGGCTCAGATGAGATGCTTGACTGGTAGCAATAGTATCCACTAATCTAATAACTTGCATGAGAATACAAAACGGTAGAGGAACGGCATACAAAATTAATATATGCAAAGTGCCGTATCGAAAGTGATTCTACACTAACTATATGACGCACTAATGAAAGAACACAAGCGTCTAACAAGAAGCTACGAGGACGACATCTACATTCTGATTTAAAATTTGCAACCGTTTCTGACTTACTGCTTTATCTGGAAGGCTGATGTCGGAGTTGTGCGAACTGTTAGGGAAGCTGTCACGTCGTTGTGTTTTTTTACTGTCGAACAGGAACTCCATCTCGGTGAGCAGATCGAGGGGCAATGCGGGCGGAGGCTCACGAGGTGGCAGTGGTCGGCTCAGCGGGAGTTTATTCGAAGGCGATGAATCTGACGAATCTGACGACACCGGCGTTGCTGACCCACACGAAAATCTGCATACAAAGATAAATATGATAGCAACACCCAAATAGGTACGATAAAATGATATAAATAATACGGATTTTGACTTTCAGAGCCTCCAACTCCAACACCTGGCACACAGATACCCTGCACGCACTCCACTACAGTAAGTCATCTCTGGTAAAAAAAAACATTAGTTCAATATTAATTACCTGCTATCATCGGTGGTGTTTATTGAAGACGGGCGGGACCCAGTCTTAGGCATTTTATTCTTCAGACCTTTTACTGCAGATTTCACATTCTTTCCTCCTTGACGAACCTTTACGGATCAAAACATATTAATTTTAAAACATTGAAGAAATTAATTGCGACCGTTATCTTTAATGGCCGGATCATAACATTGTGAATGCCAAACTATAATGGGGATGATGACAGGGTATGAAAATTAAAAATATAATTAGTCCGTAAGTTAGGTAATGAAAAAATATTAGACACGTATTTTTTTATTTTGTCGTATAATAAAACAATCCTTAGATAAAACGAATCAAAGTTTAGGAGTGGGGGCTAAAACGTCATTCCTTAGTATAAAATGTACTGAGAAGTGACGTCACGCGACATTTCAAATCAATATATCTTCGAAACTATTCGTTTCTGTGAGAAAATAAAAAATACGTGTCTAATGTTTTTAAATAATCTACCAGACGGACATTAAAATAAAAATTAGTCGTCTACCCCATTGATAGTATTAATTATAATAAAGAATTAGGCAACGTTATGTTCCGACGACTAATATGTTCGACCTACGACCGCAGGTTACATTGATATTTCTGAAAAAAATATAAATAAGTGCGCGGTCGAGCAGCATGCAATCCTTCCCTGTGTGAATTCTAATATAAGCCTAATTTATAAATCATTCCTAAGATTCAAGCCAAGTACATTCTAGTATTTTCATGATCTTAAGTTTTACCAGCCGCCGCGATCCTGTGTGACATTCATTGTATCGAAATTAATACCATGTTTTTGAAAGTTTAATTTATTAAGGATATTTTTAGACTTTCTTGTTCGCCATATCACTAAATATTTGTAGCGATATCAAAGCAAACACTGACAATAATTTTGTTAATGATGTTTTTGTCGTATACCACAATATCTAAAAATTTCAGTAGACTATTGAATTATTGAGAATACCGTTATAAAGGTATGACCAAGAGTACATATTTAGATATATTCATTTTGGCTTTTTAATAGACATAATAACTTTTCTATTGCAATATATACCTAATAATTAACCTAGTACTTAAGTAAATACCGAACAAACATAGCAAAACTAGAGGCGCTAGTGTAGCTAAAAGTATATTGATGAATAGAATATTATTTAATAATATCAAGTCATGATCAGTCACCTTGTGACAGTTAAATCAATTGCCCTATTGGGATCTTGCGCCTCTTTACCGCCATCTCGTAAGCGTAAATCAAAAACCCTAGTAGCGTGCAAATAAATACGGATTTGTCCTATAGCCAATATATACTGGGACCCAGTGCAGAGTAATATAACTACTTACAATTTGGAATAACAACTGGTATTCGTAACTTCGTGGAGTATATACTTTATTGAATTAAAATATAGCGGCATCTACGTTGTGAGCTATGCTATTTTATATACTAAATATAATATACATTACATTCACTTAATTTAATTTTATAATTACATAAAAATATTTTACACAGCAATAAATTATTTGATACATCAGTAGTAAACTAAATTTAACTTACGGTACAGAAAAATAGCATTGAAAATAGTAAAACAAAGTACTTAATGATTTGAAAGTAAAACAAAGTACTTAATATGCACTGATTATGTCAGTGCATATTTTAGCACCATATTGGGTACAAAGCAAACAACAGACATAAAATTGCAGCAATATTATAATACAGACATATTTATTATACCTATATCACTTCACATAAAAGAAACAGTAACAAAGAATAACAATTAAATAATAAAAGTATTAAATATACATTTATACTATCACAAGATACTAATAATTGAACTAATTACACGAGCAAAACTAAACACAGACGTAATACCATCACCAAAGAACTACAAACGAGCAGTTAGAGTATAAAGTATTCTCCACCAAGTTATGTATAACAGTGTCACAACAATAAGGTCGTTGTGAGAACAACAGAGTTCACTAGGACTCACCGTTTTGACCGCCGATTGCACAGCTGGGTTCGCCTGCAAATATTCATAATTTAAAGCAAAAAAAGGAAACCTCCATTACTTACAGCGTTACAGCATGCATGCGAGTATTAAGAGTTGAAAGCCAAGTATGTTCAGAAGGTAAGTGCTTTAAATTAACACTATTTTTAAATGTATCTGAAACAATGTGTAGTGATTACATAGAGAACTGTGCATAGTTTGTATTATCCTCCAAGAGACTACATGTCTAGGACATCCGAACCGAGTCCCTTATTCCTAGGGAATAGGTACAAAGTTGCTAAAACCCCCAGTCAGATATTAATAAAAGTATGTGGAGCTCTACGGCTAATTTGAAGTTGTTAAAATTTTGTTTAACATAATAAATGACATGTCGACACAGGCTTTTGAGCAAATTTTGGTGGATTTTTGTGTTCTTGCAATGTCTATACTGACTGTGCATTACATTTGAGTGTATATTTTTATATAATTGCGTTGAGATATGGCTGTAAAGATGTTTTATTATACAAGGTGTTGTTTTAAAGCCGCGTCATTTTCTAGGAGGTAATTCGGCTACCGATTCTGAGACCGAATCAATAAAAAAAATTGTAGGTAAATATTTTTCATTTTTCTGTAAATTAATCGGTAATCCGTAAGTGCGAACTATGCGCCGCCGACTTGTAACTAGCTTTATAACGCGGCCTAACACAAACTCAAACACGTAATTGATATTATTCCTAATTCCATAAAACTCCAATAAGAAACATTGCTGTCGCTTATTTATTTAAATGATTTATTATAGACGTAATTTTAACTATTGGCCCGAAACTTTCTTTTACATTAAACCTTTATGACTTCTGTGACATGCTCCCGAGAAATGTCACGGTTTGAAAACTACACCTTGTATAGTAATTCTACGGGGATTATACAAACTACACATGTCCTTTATGAAATAACTACTGTTTCAGAAGATATTTACAAAAATTGAGTTACTTGTAATTTATTAAATAAATTACCATAAATAAAAACATAAATTAAAACAAAACATTTTTTCTGTTTGTCTCTAATTTTTATTATGTACAATATCATGCATACCTGTTATTTGCATGGTTACTGAAATGTCAATTTAATATTTAAGATTTATAGAAATTGTAAGTGACTATGCTGTTTATGCGCTGAATATAATTAAATATGATATATTAATGGTCAACTCATTTTAGTACCTACTCATAATTATTGCTTCCAAAGTGGTTGTGTTTTATTAGATTTTATTAACTTCCTAACGATATCTTTACGAAGACAAGACTGTTGTTTGTATCATAATTATCGATATAGATTTTCAAAGAATGTTTTTTATTTATATCTCTTAATATTTTGGTTTAAAACTAGACATAATATAGTCAATATGGATGTAAAATTCGAATATCATAATTTATGTACGAATATATGTTTATATGTACATAACTACATATAACTGTATTCGTCATCGGGTTTTCCAACAAATATAAAGTTGTATCAATACAAGCACAGTGGATAGGTACTCATAATTAGGTATACAGCATGTTGCTCATATGCATATTTTTAGCATTGTCGGATTAATTTGTTATGTAGTAAACAATATTACAATTTCTCACATCCGTATACTATTAAGCAAAGTTTGCAATGACGATTAGCAAACAATCAACATTTAATCAATATTCAACATTTAGTCAAAATTTAACTATACAACTTTTTCCGTTTTGTTAATTTTAAAAAAACATAATGTTGAAGACGAAACATTCGTCTTACAGTCATTGAATGTAAATTGTAATACTGTTTACTATATAACAAACTAGCTACTTCCGCGCGGTTTCCCACGCTCTGCTTAGCTCCTATTGGTCGTATCGTGAGGTTTTATAGCATATAGCCATCCTTGATAAATGCGTTATCCAACACAAAAAGAATTATTCAAATCAGACTTGTAGTTTCGGAGATTAGCGCGTTGAAACAAACAAACAAAAAAACATACTCGTCCGCTTTATATAATAGTATAATAGTATATAGGTAGTAAAAGATAGTATAAGATAATTCCGAATAGACTTATATGCATAGTATAAACATACATCCTCGTAAATAAATTATGATATTCGTATTTTGAATAATGTACAAGTAACTTTAAAAGTATTATGTCTATATTGTGTTGACTTAAGTTACGTAGGTTGTGGTTAGATCAAAACCTCGCTAACACACATCGATTTACCTTAACAAATAGTTAATTGGGTTCAGGTCATTATATTTCAATATTATAGCTAAATATAAAACTTCCGACCGCCATTTCATGAAGATTATATATTTCTTAAGAAAGTGTGAATCATGAAAGTAACATAATGGCTATAAAATGTAAAAAAAAACTCAGAGCATGAATATGGATTTAGTGGCACGTGGCAAATAAATACTCATCCCCAAACATAACAAGCAGTAAAAACTTCTATTTACACACCAGTCATTTAACATTACATTAATATAAACTTTACCTTGTCTTTTACTGTCTTGAAAAATGCACCGCCTTCCTTCTTGACTGTTTTGGCCCAATCTCTGTATTGCTGTTTTAATTTCTGCCCGCTCCCTGTATTTAGCTTATCTGCGTAATTGTTGCATTCCACTTCAAACTCGTCATTGAAACCACGCCCTGAATTCAGCAGATCCAATCTTTCGTCAATAAACTGAAATATAATATATTAAAATAAGCCATGAGATGTATTTAATACTTTTTTATTTCTATTGTAAGTAATTTGCCTTGTTAAAGTCGTTCATCTTGTTATAACAAAAGGCGCTGTTTTATTTATTCTCACCTGACGGAATATTTGTGATTGTAATATTTTTGTAAGGAATGGTTGCATGTTCTTTCTGGTTCTGATGAAAGCCTCAGGATTGAAGGTAATCAGCTGACCATTTTCAATTCTGAAACATAATATTCACTTGTTAGTTAATGCTTGATGTTAGTTCCGAAATACATCAGTGTGAGAACTTACTTTATAGCATCACGGTATCCACCTATTAATGACACTAGGGCACGTAAAAATGCTCGAGACACGGCATCACCCAATGCATTCTTATCACTTAAAGCCTTCTTTAAGCTCGCCACCTGAGAATTAAAAAAGTAATCCTTTACATTTTATGAGTATATTCATTGTTCATACAATAATTTAAGGCCTATTAACAAGAGAATGTAATATACAAATCATCCGCGAAGATCTATTAGTTTATTGCCGGGGTAGCCAACTCTAACGAGGAATTTATTATTTTACCTATTTTTTTTTAATATTTTATATTTAACTATCAAATTCATTCTGCATTCTTAAATGTGTGTAAATTGCATCATTTATTTATATAGAGGAATATAATGCAAATCTATTCCCCAGTTATACATACAAAATATGTATAATGTAATTTAAAAAGTGTAGAAAGACTTGACTATGTCTTTGGTCGAGTGGTCACATACATGAGTGCCTTGCATAATGTATCAGTATCAATTTTCAGGTCGGTTAAGTAAAGTCAAAATAATTTATTTCAATTAGACGGTTAGACCAGAAAAGCACTTGAACAGCAACAAAAAAAATTAAAGTGACGCTATTCGCTCATCCCAAGGTGTAATATACACCTCGAATATCATCTCTATAGAGAAGAACGAGCAAGAAACTCCATAGGTTACTCTTTTTCAATCTGGTTCACAAATTCATACAGTCTGGAGCTGCCAGTACCAGTTCACGGACCACGTCCACGAACATGACACGTACACCAGCACCGCTCAACTCAACCATATTGTAGGGAATCGAACGATCCAATGCACGTGCTACCGCCAATGAGACCCCCGATTGAGTATAACAACTCCAAACTGACACAAATGCATTCTAAAGTAATGCCATAAGTATGGAGAACTAAGTAGAATGTACCTACACCTCTCATTTGAAGAAAGATAAAATGAAACATATCTCTATGGCGATTCTGTATTTTAACTAACATTATATTTTACATTTTATAGGTCGACGTTTGTCCACCATCTCGCCTGATGGTAAGCGATGATGTGGCCGACGATATTTAACTTCTTTTTTGTTATATGTTCAAGTTGTTAAATTATTTTCTTGATTTTGATGTTATTTACTTTGTAAAAAATTTAACAATAGCAGCGTAGCACTCATAGCAAAATACATGATTGTAACTGCAGAAAGAAGCAGAACAATCATGATTATCTTACCAGATCAGAGGGGAGTCCATCCAAATCGTTGAATGGTGATTTAAGCTCATTTGCATCTACGTCTAATATAACCACATCGCCTATTTCAGACATCCTTACATTCTGTAACAAGACAATCAAAGGTTAATTGACAGAACCATATCAGATGTATGGTACAGATCATTACTAAACAATAAAGGTCCAACACTTACCTCCATCACACTCCTAGGAACTCCAATAAGAAATGGCATGGGCGCCAATAAATAATCAACCAGATGTTTTGGAAGAATTGGAATGAATATGTGTTGCCAGGACATTGGAAACAACGTTGCATTTGCTGCTTGCACGCAGGCCGATAGCCTGGAAGGCTTTGAGGCTACTATCGCAACTCTGCGCTCATGCAGCAACGCCGCCCATAACCCGGCCATACATTTCGTGTCCATGGCACTGAAGTATTCCGTTAAGTTGCACTGAAATAATTAATAAACATTATAATAAATGCTCTCAAAGTACCACACACATTTTACTTGTTTAAAATCAGAATGATAAAGAACACAATATTCAATATATTAATTACGCTACAATAACATGTGGATGATTATATTGCTGAGGAAATCACTATAATTACTTACTTACTTACTGAGATAACTAGGTATTTATGCACACTTACATTTTCTGGAATACTTGGAAGTTTGCTGTCTGGACACTGACAAGTGAAAACGCTGTGGCCAGCATTATAAGTCACTTTAAGTGTATGGCCGGGCATAGGTGGACGTATCCGACATGCTTCCAAGAATGATGCTAATTCACCTCGTTCTGGACTGTTAATCAGGTTCGCTATGCAATTCAGTAACCTGAAAAGTAAATTGTTTAAAATAATAGTAAACTTTCTAGTGTCATCATATAAAATTCAAACTATTCAGACCAACAATTTTCAATATCGACAAATGAAAAACTAATGAATTAAATCCTCATAAGAGTCATAATCGCAAAGCACAAATATTTTTTGCATTCATAGCCATTTTTGTTCTTTACATTTACTGAACATTAATTTTGTACAATATAGCTGTTTTCGACAATTAGGAAACACTTTCAATATATCATTTTTGCAAAGCATATACAGCATATTGCGCAAGCTGTACTGTAATTTCTCATTTAATATTAACCTTCAATTTACAACCATGAACCTTGTATGAGATTGAACGCATGAAAGTTTATTGTCCTATTGAAACAAGTATCTTACAATATAAATTGTTCTAAATTGGTAACAACTATGTCATTTATAAGAGATTCAAAGTCTGACAATTAAAATACATTCGCAATTTTATTCAAACAGATTTTTTATTTTGTTTACTTTTTAAATTTTGTATGTTTAGCACAAGCAAGCGAATTATATGTAAGTAACCAGTTCAAGCTGTCTAGGCACAGGTATTATTTAGTGAATTTTACAGTGAATTCTCCATTCATTCTCTTTCATAATTATAAACCGTTTCTGACAATAACAATCATAAAAAATACTTATCCAACTTACTGTAAATTTGCAAGTGATATAAACAAGGAATACAGGAAATCATTTTTATATATTATGTATAGTCACGAATTTTAACTTGTTATGAGACATTTTGTGTTAGTCGCCTTGTACTAGCTATTAATATTATAATAACTACTTACTTGTAAAATATATCGTGCCATGGTAGATGTGACAGTAACACAAGTGCTGTGTTAGCTTTAGGATCATATCGACAGAAACAAAATGTATATTTAGAGTCCTCCGAAGTCAGCACAAATGAATAGTGCTGTGCAAACGAACTGGAAATTTTAAAATAATAATATTAATGTATATTTAAACATTTTCAAGTGGAAAGTGTTGAAGCGAGTAATATCTCAAATAAATTAAACTTACTTTTCTAGCTGACATGGGAATGTAAATTTTGGAATATTTTTTAACTCTTCTTCATTTTTATATGTTTCTGGATATTTCCTTATGACGTAAGGTTCCCTCAGATGATCACCAGGTGATACTTCACAAAATAATTCGAACAAGAAGCGTACAGTGTCTCTGAAAACATAAAAAAACAGAAACATGTTAATAAATAAACCAAATTGAGTACCTACTTACAAGAAATATAGAAATTTGTTATTTAAGAATTTGATTTAGAGATTTTAAAAAAGACATCAGCTGTTTGAACAATGCACAAATAATTCACGGTTTCATAGCATAATTACAATGCCTGATTAACATCAGTCATTTCAATTGTTTTCAATCTCTGACCTAAAATGAAATGTAATAGTAAGCAGCTAATCTTCTGCTCTAGTTTGGCTGCATTCCAATTTATTTTACAAGCAAAATAATAGTTTATTTCAATACAATTAATAATAATACGATCAATGTAGCAGCATTTACTTATAATGTTAAGACTGCAATAGGCAATTTAAAAATCACAAATGGAATGGAATGTATTTGGTATTAAACAAGATGTTTGCATTCTATGTGTAACCCATGGGGTCTTGGAGTGGTAAATGAAGTAAGAGAACAAGTCATTATAGTTTAAGTAGTTACAAAATGTTGTGTTATCATGGTAACCGTTCACACAGAAAATGGCTTAGATGCAGTATTGGCTGATGCGCAAGGTATCGCAGATTTCATTCCCATGCAGAAGTTCTTTGTGTAATCTACAAATTTCTGTTTTCCGTGCCTGAGTGTGATCCATATGTGAATTTGTATGTTTACAAATGCACCTATAACACGGGAGAAAGTCCTGGTGTAGAGCCACATGTCATTTTTATATCATATATATAGCAATAAATATAATAGAAATAAGACACAGTTTTATATATATCAAGTGCAACATGATCTAGCATATGTGAGACATGGTCCAGCAGTTACAGTACAAGTGTAGACTATTATACATATAGTATAAAAGTTACAAGTTAGATTAGCTAAGAAATATAATACTATAGATATTTAAATGGAAAATATTATGTCTAATTATATACCAATTAGACTAACAGTAATTCAACCTGTATAGGTGAAACAGCCTTCTTATTAAGTACAATACTAGCCAAGCACGGAATTCAGTTGTGGTTACTATGGGCATACCCGCAAGCCTTATCAACAAATTCGAACCGGTAAAGATTCTCTTTCACCGACTATGGTATTAATATTATGTATAAGCTCATGATAAAGTTACTGAGATGTGCCACTTTATTGGTGCTAGATTTACACCTGAGACTAGAGCTACTCTTAACTTACATTACACTCCAAGTGTTTATACCCAATATGGATATTTAACATTAACTTACTTAGTTATTCTTTCACACAAGATGATGCATTAATGACGATTTCTAATGTTTAACAACTATTGATTGTGTAGAAGTGGTTCAATGCTGATGATGCTAAGTCAACATACAAAAACTCTGTCAATATAAAAATAATAAAATAACTAACTGGACTGTGATAAGACCATTGTAGTTTCCATATTATCATAATTATTATACTATCTATAAACACAAAATATGGTGCCTTTATCATCAGTATTGGTCTGATAAACTGAAATATGTATATAGACACATCTCATGATAGGATTTAGAAGGGAAATCGTACGAGCCCACCTACAATGAGTGTACAAAATGTAATTTTTACTTTAGGTAATATAAGTATACACACTGATTCACAGTATCTACATCAAAATTGAGTTAAACAGGAAATTATTTTATCAGGATACTATACCAACTGGACATCTGTCGCGGGGCGTAAATGGTTAAGTGATATAAGGGTAAATAAAGTAAACGCAATATGGAGTTAGTAATACAATAGACCGAATTTCAATTTTTGGGGTTATGTAAGGAAGAATGATTACGTTTATGTACACTAAATATATTATAATAGTCATTTTATAATGGAAAAATTAAATAATAATTACCTTACTCTGGAACCCATGTCTCGACGTGGATCATATGAAATTTTGTTTACATCTTCCACAACACACGGTCTGAAGTTACTTGCTGATAAATTCTAATATCATGAAACATCACCAGCCATAGAAAACTACCTTCGAGTCGAATGAAACATTTTTTAAAGATTTTTACCTCTATTTCCAAACTATTACGAAAGACGGACGATGTTAGTCACTTTCCAGAGATAATAATTTATTGAAATTATTTCAACGCCACAGTAGGCCGTCTCTTTCTAATTTGAAAGTAATAATAGCGATAGCAACTTTGATATGTCAAAGATACATGCGTAGTTTTGACGTGTCTACGGAATACGGAATGTTTTTTGTCGAAGCGACACTCGTCAAAACACGTTCCGTTTCACAAAATCTGTGTAGAATAGTTTTTAGGTGATAATAATTTGTTTCTTTTATTCTATTTATTAGTAGAAAAGATCATCATCGCTTACCACCAGGCGAGATAGTAGTCAAACATCGCCTCATCAAATATATAAAAAAAATTAGTATCATTTACCATTATCGTCATTTTGTTTGTTCTAACTTCACTAATTATTATTGAATTTAGAACAGTTGGTGTTTGATTTCCACACGGAGCAACTCTGTGGGATTCACAAATTATTGTTTCCGATCTGGGTGTCAAGTCATTATCTTTATGTGAACTTGTATGTTGGTATACGCACCCTGAACACGGGAGATAATCCTAGAGTGGGACAAATTTATTTTTAAATTATTATGTCAGAATGATACTCTTTTTGCTAAGTCCGTACCTACTCTTTATTTACCTACTTTAAAATCAGATAGGTGTACTCTATTTCTTCTAAAAAAAGTTGGCAACCCTACTATACACCAACCTCAATGCTGTCCATCACCACCTAGAGACAGCAAAACCGGCCTTGCTCTTTTTGACTGAGACGCAGATATCGTATCTATTGGCCACAGATATAATAATTTGATATTTCTGTGTATTAAACACATCCTAGGGCCGGGGTATGCGTGTACGTTAGGGACGACATCAGCTCTCGTCGCCACATAAAACTTGAAGGTAGAGGCCATGTCTTATGGCTGCGTGTACATAACGATGACCACCCCCGTGTCTATGCGTGCCTATATAGGTCCCACAGAGGCAGAAGTGATAGCGAGACTGATGACTGACCGACTCTGTGGCTGATATGGTGCTGCACGGTATGGAGCTTTTCAACCCATCTTCTTTGGTCCCCGTCGGTGGCAGATATCGGCCCTGGTTTGGTGCTTCTACCAGAAATGCCTCACGCAGAAAGCGAGGGGCCTACCAAGCCTGAGCCGATGCGGTGGTGGCACGGGATGTAAATACCTACCAGCGCACTATAAAAGGAGAATAATAGCCATAACTTCCCTCTTCTCGAAAATAATGGAGTCCATTAACTACCAGCTCTTGCGTTACTTAGAGGATCATCGGCTGCAACGTAAAGGTCGGTCTGCAATTGATCTTCTAGTATAAGTACCTAACGCACCGGTGGGCACAGGCGAGTCTAAGGGGGAAGCGTTGGCAGTAAGTTCGGACGTCGCGAAGGCCTTCGAACAGGTTTAGCGCAGATCGCTTCTTTCAAAGCTTCCTTTCCACGGGCTTACCGAGAAATTATTCGAATGGGTCTCCTGTTCCCTTGCAGACAGAAGTATTAAGATTGTTGTCGACGGTGAATGATCTATCTTGCTGACAATCATGACATGGTGCAAATCAATCTTGACATGCGGCATTCATTGTAAAGGGGATGACAGCACAGGCAATGCCTACTACACCGGCCGCGCTAACATTTCTCGGGAAAACGGCACAGAGCCGAAGGCCGAAACAGACTCATATATGAAATCGTGACCTATTTAAGGAGAATTTCAGATTTGGGTGGACTTAATTTGGTCAAGTTTAACCCCACTAAGATACAGGTTTGCGAGACTGCTAAGAAACTGCCGTTGGTCGTCTCTCCTTAGTTTCAAAGCACCCCCCTAACTGCTTCAGCCGGTATTGGAATATTTGGTGTCAGCATTTCGAGCGGCGTCCAGTTCCGCACTCCTCTAGAGGATAAGGCCAAATTAGCCTGAAGGAAGCTTAGTGTGCTCAATAGATCGAGGCAGTATTTCACTTAACCTACACCTAACCTATCATTGTTAGTTGATTGGTCAACCAGGAAGTCAATATCTTCTCAATCAGTTCATTGACCTTTGCCGAGTATAAAAGTTATTGCTGTCACCAAGAAGGTGATTTTATTACACGAACGAAGATATTATTACACGAATACTAAATTAAGCCATAAGACACAGGTTGTAAAAATGTGTGTATAATAAAATTGCCGTTATTATAGTGAATATATTTATTTCAATTGTTATTTACAAATATTGTATCCTGCTTATACCTCTAAAACCATTCAGTAGTCTTATTTTAATAACTTAACAAAAACATAAAATTACCTTTAGGTATATGATCTTAGGAAAATAAATATAGGATTTCTTTCTTTGTACTGAAAGGAAGTACAACGAAGTAAATTTTTAATTTTATGTCCATTTGTTTCAAACATTAGACACGTATTTTTATTTTATTACGGAAACAAATTCTCTCGATGAATATATTGATTTGAAATATTCCGCACGTCACATTTAGATACGTTTTATACTAAGAAATGACGTAACTAATCGTTATATAAGGCCCATAGCACACGGCGTATTACCTATTATACGTGCAGGTTACCCGTGCTACGCTCCGTATACGCGCGGTTCACGATTGCTTCGTGTGTTTAGGTTACAAGGTTGCAATCGAATCTTGTACGATGTGCGTATACGGACACAATACGCGCTTCAAACAAACATACACGCGCTTCATGAGCGCCAGCGTATCATCAATGTAAACGCAACAATCAGCGTCTACGGCGCCGAAAACTCGCGTTTCCTGCGCGTATAAAAATATGCCGTGTGCTATGGTCCTTAGTATTATATTTTTTCATTACCTACCAATTCATAGGTATTTAGTCCTACCTAATTGATTTTTAATTTTCATACATCAATAAATTATCTAGAATTAATTAACTATCGTTTCTCAGATAAAAAATGAGACATGCATAAAAAGTGTACCTAAATAAGTCCCTACAAATAAATAAGTTCATGCTTCTCAAGTATGCAAGTATGTGTTATACTGCCTACTTCTGCACATTATTGTATTGATATCTTTTTGTAAAAGAAAAATTAATAAACCCAAGCTACCACATCCCACTAAACACCTAGTTAGTTACATTATTTATTATAATTATTATACTCTACAAAATAAGAGGCCAGAATCAACGCCCGTAATTTAAAATACCGCTGTAACTTTTTATGAACGACCGAATAAGAACTCACTTCTTACTGGGTCACCCATCCACCTACATCTATAACAATATGGACATAACATCTATAGCATTAAACTATTTATTGTAAAAACACATTTCAAAAGATGAATCTATTAATTATTATTGAATGTTTTGTTAAGTCATATGTAGGTATGGGTTTGTAAACTGTAATTATGTAATGTAATTATGTTTAGTATTTATAAATTGTTTATAAAATCGGTGTAAATATTTCAAGACACAATACCAAAATCTGATAACTTATTAGCTTCATTTTAATACTAGTATTTTACATACATAAACTTTATTACTTACAAAAATTGGGTAAAGACGATATAATATTTTGATTATAGTTTAACCAAGAGTTTAACTATCAAAGACACGGATATTTTTTTTTAATTTTCAGATTTAATTTTGATTCAATGACACATTACATCCGACACAAAAGGCAACGAATTTTCTATTCCAATGACAACAAATATCTATGCAATCGGGCTTTTTATTTTGTTATGTATATACCTATTTATTGATTACTTTATTACCTTAATGAGTACGGGTCATAAGTAAAATATCTATAACAACATATTATGCCCTCGATAGTTTACCGTCAGATATCAGACAAGAAAATAATGTCTATATATATCTATAACACTGTTTAAATTAAGTTAAAAAAAGCTTCTGTAAAATAATTTATAAAAACCGATTATTTACTAATTTATCGTATGTTTTAGTTATACTCATTCATATAGAGTATAGAATGTAACGATCTGAAACACTAATTTGGAGGTTTTTTAAAAAATTGACAGTGGTAGCACGGAGTCTGGAATTGTACCCGGTATATATATGGTAATAGGCTCACCCGTATTATATCGGACTCATCCTTACTTCCTTACTTCCTTACTAATATTATAAATCTGAAAGTGAGTTTGTTTGTTTGTTTGTTTGTTCCACCTTCACGCCGTAACTACTAAACCGATTGCTTTGAAATTTTGCAGACGTAAAGTTAGAAGTCCAGATTAAATAATAGGGTACTTTTTATCCCGGAAAAATGTGATATTCCCGAGGGAAAACAAAAATACTAGTATAGATGGCGCTGTGTGTATTCCTGTAGATGGCGCTTTGTGCCATCTAAAACAATTCAATGAATTACCTACTAATTGGAAATTTCACGCTTTAATCTATAGCGCTTATTTGGTGTTAATCTACACTTATTCAGTGCGCTTTTCGACTCATTTATTTGCTATTTTTTATGTAAAAATACTTAAAAAAACACAACGTGGTAACGTTGTGTAGTAGTTACGCTACTTGGCGATAGATGGCGCTGAGTGTTTATAAAACGGGGTAGCGTTGTGCTATTAAAGTACTTTTATCGCTTTTAAATTTTGGTTCCTACCATTTTACATTGAATTGTGTATTTTATAGATTTTAGGTTGTTAATTTGGTTCTAACCATTTTACATTAAATTGCGTATTTTATAGATTTTAGGTTGTTAAAGGTACACAAAATTGGTGACTATGTAGTAGTTACGCTACTTGGCGATAGATGGCGCTGAGTGTTTATTATTATATATTCAACGGGGTAACGTTGTTTTTTAAGTATTTTTATCGGTTTTAAATTTTGATTCCTACCATTTTACATTGAATTGGGTATTTTATAGATTTTAGGTTGTTAAAGGTACACGAAATTGGTGTCTATGTGGTAGTTACGCTACTTGGCGATAGATGGCGCTGAGTGTTTATAAAACGGAATAGCGTTGTTTTTTAAGTATTCTTCGCTTTTAAATTTTATCTTTTTGTGACGCGAGCGAAGCCGCGGGTAAAAGCTAGTAACATATATAGTGAAAAGTGGGTGTTACATTGTACAGTGGCATTACGTGCCGTAATGTGCACTTCTGCCTACCTCTTTGGAGATAAAGGCGTGAGGTTATGTTGATATTAACCCGTAGTATGTCGGAACGCACATCTACGCGAGACACAATTTGTTTTCTATTGTGTCTCATATATCGGTCGATAAGAGGCTAATCCTATATTTCTGACCGCTCTTGATTTTTGAGAAAGTCTACTCTTCTATAGCGTTCAAGGTAACAATCGATCTCACTTTCAATCTTGCATGGACATCGGTTATTGAATTCGACAGTTAATGCACAAGTTTCAGTTCAAAAGTATGCTTAAAACAAGATCATTCCCAGACGAGGAGAGATGCCATTTGTCTACAAACCAAAAATGAAATAAAGTACCTACACAATCAAACACTGAATCGTAACCTATTTTTTTGATAGATACCCTTTTATATCACACTTTACTTTAGTTTCGTAAGATATTGTAACAAGTTGTTCACAGGGGACATTAAATACAATATGACCGTCGAATTGAAGCTGATCGTTTTAATACCTTAAAGATTGCTGCTTAATTTCAAATTTATTGATATCGGATACATTACCTATGATTTAAAAATAATACAACACAATTAAATAAGATAAATAAATTACCCTAAAATAATTAAAACACAGATTAAAAAATTAAGTAAAACAATATTAATAAAATTAAAGGATAAGTCATTACTTAATTGCTGGATTTTCTAAGTAAATATTAGTCAAACATGTCTTATATGGAACACCATATTTTATTTGGTCGATGGACGGATCAGTGATCTTCAAATTAATCGTCAACAAGTCTTTGTTAACTAAAACTAAGTCTAAATATTTAATTTTGTAAGTAAGGAGCACATTTTGATATTGGAGATTTTTCGAATCCGTCATTATTTTTGACACAAAGTTAAATTCGATTCATATTTTACAGGTCAAAATTGGGTACTTGCCTTAATCAAAAATAAATTATTTCGACTATTTATTACAATAAATTTTTCTTGTTATTTTCATTATTGATTTTATAACTAATTTAATTTTAGTATTTTTCCAGCAAATTGTTAAGAAATAAGTATGCCGTTTGACGCTGAAAAAACGTGACGTCACAATACACAATCTCGTACAAAGTCATAGAAAACTGTCGTTTTTAACAGTTCGAAAAAAGTATTGAATTTGACTAGTTGGCAAGTACCCAATTAAAATTAAATTTGAGTTTCAGAAGTCAATATTGTTACCGAATACTTTAATGCCACAACTTTAACGTCCAAATACTGCAACACCCCTTAATTTTAACTCGTCGAGCACCGTATTTATAGACACAATTAAAGAACAATAGGTTGCGGTCACCGGTGACCGCTTGGTGTTTGACAGTTTAGTCACGCTGATGTACCTATAGTTCAAACTCTTTGTAAAATGAAAGAGATGGCGCGATATTTAATTACAACTTAAAGTTGAGTAGCGTTTCAGTCAGGTGTAAGTCGTATATTGTATTTAATAATCGTGCTATCTCTGTCATTATATAAAAAGTACCAGTAATACTTTTAGAGAGCCTGATAAAGTTGAGTGGCACTTAAATATTTAAACATAATTATGACTTTTGAAACTTAAACTGAGTTGTGACTCGAAGAGTCTCAAGCTATCCAATATAGCTATTTTTTTAAAGATAGGCCTCAAGCCAGTTATTAGTACACACATGTAAGCGGGGTTAAACTGAATATTCTTGTAGACTTACTTAAAACGCATAAAATGCAATACTGCTGTTAAACATTGGGATTATCAGTCACATATTTTGATAAATATTTAGAAGAAATAGTAAATAATAGTATTATAAAATTAATATAACTCTTCAACTGTTTCACAGTACCTATTCATTTGTGCAGTTTTTGTCAAATGTAATAATCACAGATTTCACTTAAGATACTAAATATTGTCAGGAAGTTTATTTTACAGCTCCTTGAGCACAGCTTATATTTTAAGTACACATTACCAACTAATCATTATCACATTCTTCCCTCCGACATGTCTTCCAACATGAAAATCATATCATTTACTTGTTCGTATCGGATAACGGACGAATAACCTGAAAACAAAATATAACATGCTTTCGTTAACGTTACACAGATAAATGTACATTTAGCAGTAATTTCATGGACATCAGTTCACGATGTTAACACAAATAATAATAGGTGTGTTAGAACAATCCAAGTAAGTTGTCGGTACGAAATTGTCCTTTTAGTAATGTTAACGGTAAAACGCAGCACACAACAAACACAGACAAGTAATCATGCGACTATGCAATAAAAATAGTCATCGAAATGTATTATTGAAAAAATTTTGGAATGTACTTCCTTCTAAATTCATTGAGAAAATGTGCCATACAGCCCCGAAGAAGCTCCAAAATCGATGAACATCACTCGCGTCTATTCTAATAGAGCACTAATTATATCAAAGATAGATGAACTATAAAAGTGACGATACAGACATCTAAAACCACGCCGAGGTAGGCAAAAAGAAACACAGTTAATATAAAATATCAATTATATATTTATAGTTAAGCCATCACAGGATCGTGTTGTAAAATGTTACAAAAATCTACAGCTACAAAATTATAATAACATTGTGGCTACCACATTTCAGAAGACAATCGGAGTAGTTGCATAGTTTAGTAATTACATCCATATTGGTAGTCTTGTTCTGCAGATACACAATTAGAATAAAGGAATGTCTCGTTAAACGCATAATAAACAAACAAAATAAAATAAGAAAAATGAGGAAACGAAAATTTTATCTAAAATACAAACAGAAGAGGCGTTGAAACAACACAAACGACAGAACTCAAGAACAAAAGTTAGACAAAAGTCTAAATAAACGTTTTGCATCAAGTGTCGAAAAGTAATAAAAACAGAAAGAAAACAAATTGTACACAAATAAATAAGAAACATAAAGACCTTTATAAGGTAAAGAGAAACAATTTGATGTCACAGCGCATAGTATGGCACAAAAAGAAAACGAATTCAATTTTTACGTATCTATAATAACAATGTAAAGAATTTAAATTAGGTACATTAAGTCAATAATAATCTCACCGCCTAAGTTAATAAAATCTAAATTGTATCTTAGTATCGTATTAAAACGAATCCTAAAATATAGGAGTATTCAAGATTTAGGGTTTAAGAACATAAAATAAACTATTGTAAAAACAACCATAACTTTAGGTTTTAAGTGAAAACACAGCCTAAAAAATAATAAATTCACATGTAGGTTTATACGTATAAAGCACGCTAATACATTGATAAATATTAGTTCAATGATGTATCAACATTTTTTGCCAATAGCTCGTTACAAGCCTATGATTAGCTGTTCGTATCTGCTAAAGTAAGTGAGACTATATAGCCAATATTTAATAAAACGTCACGTAAAATATAGCCAAAATAGTACATAGTACATTTGTATGAGAAATCACATAGGAACAATTTTTTCGTATTTAACATAATACATAATATTTTAATTGTTGCTTAACACAACACAGCCTCATACCGGTTAAGCCTCGAAGGAGTATTCAGAGTTTATAACGTACAATATACATGTTCAAATTTTGTAAATTATAATGTAACACTATTATTTTATCAAGAGCGAACTTATTGCTAGGTAAATAACCAAAAACAGCTCAATGAAATTCCATTCAAATGAAATTCAAAATCTCAAGTAATTACTTGAGATTATAAAACAAAAAAGCTTGAAATGTAACTTAAATGTTAAAAACGACTCGACCACCGAGACATTATTATGGTATTAATACATCAATGAGTATCTATGTTATCGAACAATTTTTTGGCAAGTTATCGAGGCATTTTTCAAATCGCCAGTATTATCAACGCGGAATGTAAACTAACACTAAACAATGTCACTTCGTTTTTATAAAAACATTCGCTTAGTTTTAACATAATTCTACCCCTCACCATAATAATTGGCATATTTCCTTTTGTTAATAACTAAGGCAAAAAATAAATTAAGTACTTTGACGAGTATAAAATTTATACCTATTCCTATACATTTTTGATATAAAAATGTAATCTAGATTACCTATCGAAATATGTATATGGTAAGAAATGGATACATAAGTAATAATTAAAAAATGAATCTTGTTCAGTACTTAATCAAGTCTTAAAAAAGACAAATAGTGTATTAATTCTTAAATATTACTGTTCTGCAATTTTGTCATTACCTGAAGGCACTCTAGCGTGGCCAATTTTATCCTTCAGAATAAAGAAAGCCAGCCAGTTCAATCCACAGCATATTAAGGCTCCAATGCCAAATGAACGGAAAGTAATCCATCCTCCATACGTCCCGTACAGTTGACCTCCTATAAAACTACCCAAAGATGTACCAACGCCTTCGAAAACAGCCCCAACCAATCCCTGAAACCAAATATAGTGTTGTCTAATTATGGATTTTCCATTTTCAAAGTTTAAAGAAGGCAAAATAATAATCGTCAGTATAATTTACAGCAAGAGTTCGGAGCATTATTAAATATTAATAACTGTCATAGATTATTAAAAAAAAAATTGCCCCAAACTTTTGTCTTATGTGTCGTGACTGCGTTTATATATACTCTATATATATACACACCAAACTTTGACATAGGACCACAATATGTATATGAATCACACGATTTTAAAAGATCTTTTCTATAAAAATGGGTCACGACGATTTGTCGACATTTATTGACAAGTATTAAGTAATTTAAATACTAGGAAACATACCTGGACTGTAGTCTCTGTACCCGGTGGTGAGACTATGTTAGCATAAGAAGTCATTGTCGGATAGAACATGCCGAAAGTAACGCCTTGCAACATTTCAATAGGCAGTACCCACCAAGGGTTGGTAAGGAACGAGTATAATATGAATCTCACGCCAAACGCCAGGAGAACCAAGCTCATCATGTTTATATGACCAACTTTTTTTAGTACATAACCTGAAATATTAAACGATAACGTTATTGCATCTAGCAATAGTCTCTAGTAGACAACATTCCCACATTTCATTACATTAGTTTTCTTATCTATAATTTTGTAATGAGACACAGATGTAGAATAAGGATATTCTACAGTACTTTTTTTCATCAATGTCATCAGATCCAAAGGCTGTTATTTTATTTATGCCCACAATAACAACAATAAGTACTTACCAGATACAAACAGAAAAGGTATTTCTCCTCCAAATGTCTGTATTGCACTGACTAAGCCTTGCAAGGTTTTTATGTAGCCTGTGCCATCACAGGTGAGGCCTGATATGTCTTCCAGTAACCAAAACAGGAATTGCCACAGCAAACCGGTGCACAAACCAACGGCTATCGTCCACAATAAGAATAAGACTGTAGGTAAAGACGATAACAACGAACCAACATCAGCCAAAATGTTCATTGACATCTTAGTTGAATCAGTCTGGAAAATGAATAAAATATATAAAATACCTATTTCTTAAAGACATTATTCTAACTGGAGTTATTCAGTTGAAATTATCAGTCGTTACATGACTACATTAAAGTGTGATCAATATCAATCAGCTCTAAACAAAAGGATGTCTTACAAATAACACTTTTTAATGTTTTTTTTTGTGTATTTTGAAAGACTTGACATCAAATCACAACTCTCCACTAAGTTCAAACTATCATATTATTTCTCTATAGTTGTCTTAGTATTGTCTTGTAGTTGTAGCATTTTGTAGATTAGGTTAGATTTGTAACTGACCTCCAAAAAACATGAAACCCCGACGTCTCCCATCATAAACACAAACATGAGTATAAATGCAATAGTGTAGTCTTTGTAAGCACCATCACTAAGTGTATCTATGAGAACTCCAGTCAACAGTGAAAAAATGCCCCATCCGACTGAACCCCATAGTCTTTGTTTTCCATATTGTGATACTTTTGTACCTGAAATGAGGTTATAAATACAGATTAATTTATGAAAATAGGATAGATCTAATACTTGAAATCTTTGTTTCTATTTTTAAATGAATCTGAATAAAAATGTTGTATAGAAACGTGTAAGTATGTCTAGAAAAGACCTGTTTAACTTACCGAGAAGATTAAAGCAGATGGCATCAGCGAAAGTGACAACAACAGCCTGTCCAATCCAGCTAAGTATCATAAAGAAAAAGAACAGCCAGAATGTTGATGTAAATTCATTTTTGTCGTTTCTGCTATCTGCTGCGGCCTCAATCAACTCATTTACCTGAAATAAGATTGTTTTATATAATTTCGTTAGTTCAGTAGATATTACATTTTCCATTAGTTGGTTTTCTATAGCACTTTCGCATAACTCCATTAATTAATCACATTATTGTTTAAACGGCTTTATTTATTGGATTTACTAATTGTGGTGAACACTGTATTTATATTTGACAAACATTAATAGCCAATTTCGTGCTGCTTCATTGATGCGAGGTGCAAAGAGAAACGATAAATGCTAGATTGAATACATAAGTGATGTTTGACTACTTATGACATAATTTCCATTATGTGTACGACTACGATAAAATTCTTGTAACTGTTAAGTGAAACTGTAATTACAAATTACATTTTTATCGATGAATTAGCAGTTGGATAATTAGGAAGAAGCAGATTTAATAATTTAATATTTTTAAGGTCGACTTAAGTGGTAAAATCCGATTAGCATAATCGGATTTTATGGATATTGTATGCATTTGTATGATTATGGCTACTAATAGGTGCGTTTATGCTATGTCATGGATGATTACTTTTAGTTCCAAAATACGTAACTAATTAAAAATACTATATTGTCATTTGTAAGTAGGTAATCAATAGGTTTATAAATGACTTATTTAGCGAATGTTAGTACAAACCGAGTTTTTAGTACTAAATTATAAATTATTTTTCTTTCTTTTTCTAGTATAATGGTGCAATAAATAGCGTAAAACTGTATTGATATAATCCTTACTAATATTATAAATCTGAAAGTGAGTTTGTTTGTTTGTTTGTTTGTTCCACCTTCACGCCGTAACTACTAAACCGATTGCTTTGAAATTTTGCAGACGTAAAGTTAGAAGTCCAGATTAAATAATAGGGTACTTTTTATCCCGGAAAAATGTGATATTCCCGAGGGAAAACAAAAATACTAGTATAGATGGCGCTGTGTGTATTCCTGTAGATGGCGCTTTGTGCCATCTAAAACAATTCAATGAATTACCTACTAATTGGAAATTTCACGCTTTAATCTATAGCGCTTATTTGGTGTTAATCTACACTTATTCAGTGCGCTTTTCGACTCATTTATTTGCTATTTTTTATGTAAAAATACTTAAAAAAACACAACGTGGTAACGTTGTGTAGTAGTTACGCTACTTGGCGATAGATGGCGCTGAGTGTTTATAAAACGGGGTAGCGTTGTGCTATTAAAGTACTTTTATCGCTTTTAAATTTTGGTTCCTACCATTTTACATTGAATTGTGTATTTTATAGATTTTAGGTTGTTAATTTGGTTCTAACCATTTTACATTAAATTGCGTATTTTATAGATTTTAGGTTGTTAAAGGTACACAAAATTGGTGACTATGTAGTAGTTACGCTACTTGGCGATAGATGGCGCTGAGTGTTTATTATTATATATTCAACGGGGTAACGTTGTTTTTTAAGTATTTTTATCGGTTTTAAATTTTGATTCCTACCATTTTACATTGAATTGGGTATTTTATAGATTTTAGGTTGTTAAAGGTACACGAAATTGGTGTCTATGTGGTAGTTACGCTACTTGGCGATAGATGGCGCTGAGTGTTTATAAAACGGAATAGCGTTGTTTTTTAAGTATTCTTCGCTTTTAAATTTTATCTTTTTGTGACGCGAGCGAAGCCGCGGGTAAAAGCTAGTAAGAAATAAATAAAAAATAAACAACTTTTTCTTTAGGAAACGGGAGTAGAATGTTTGTTATGACATTACATATCAATTTCTATAATATGTTAATTAATTAATTCAGTATAACGTGACCAGATAAGTTATAAACTAATAATAATTTACTTACTGTCTTTACAAAAGGTTCAAATTGATGAAGTATTATAAAACAAACATTTGAAACTAAAGTTCTTACCACAGCATTGTCACAGCGTATATTGCAGGAAGAGAGAAACAGATCAGATTTATCTTCGTATTGCCCTTTTAATCCACAGACCGGATAATGTTTTGTAACTGAAAAAACAGATGTAAGACGTTTGGCTAAAACATTTTTAAGTAGGTATTTAAGCTTTATACATAATATACTCAACCAATTTTGTTGAAATTATTTAGGTACGGAGAAGGAAGCTGTGCAAACAAAAACTAGTCTATATAAGCAATTTATTCTCTGAAATCTTGAACGACTGCACTAAAATGGATACCTAATCATTATGGGACGAGATGATTGGATGAAGTTTGAACTAGTGAGAATTATTTCTTGTTTGGTCCGTCTCTAATCGCAATGGGTATCATATTTCTGTCATGTCTTTGTCAAATAACACCTCTTGTATTGGTTAAGTATATGTATTTACATTGTATAACGAAAATGAAGTAAAATATCAATATTATCTTACCAACACCGTTTTCAATGGGCAATTCGATCTGATGAAGTCGTATATACACGCATTCATGTTCCTGAATTGTAGAAGACAGCAATATTTCTCCGGTAAAGGACAGGTTTTTTGGGAATTCTTCACCTTGCCGGGTTTTGGGTTGACAGTAGCTGGTAGTGTCAGCTTTCCACCACTCACATATTTCCATGAGTCGCCATGGTGTCGTCACGTCAAGATCACATGAGGCCTAGAAAATAGATAAGCAGAAATTATATTGTAAATACATACATATTCAATAGCTTTTATTTATTACATAACATCACGCCTTTTATCCCAGAAGGGGTAGACAGAGGTGTACATTATGCCACTGTACAATCAACACCCACTTTTCACTATTTACATTATGAGTCCCATGTAATAGGGGGTGAGCCTATTGGCATATACCGGGCACAATTCCAGACTCCGTGCTACTACTGAGAATTAAAAAAAAACCCAATAGTACTTTGCCCGACCCGGGAATCGAACCCGAGGTCCCTTGCCCGGCAGTCGCACTTGCGACCACTCGGCCAACGAGGCAGTTTTGTTTATTTATTTAGTAAATAAGCTACAAACAGGAAACTAAGTTTAGACTCAGGCAATATATGTATTTCTATGATAGCTAAAATCATAGGTATCTTAATTGTTTACCTCACATGTGCTGTTTAATGGATCTTTGGTAAGTTCTTTAAGTTGGGTAGTGTCGGTAGGGCACAGTTTGTAATTTATATTTTGGTCTATGCAGGTCATATTAACGCGATCCTTTCCTATGGCTGTGGATAGTTTGGTGTTATCACATTTGAAAGAACAGGGCTCGTTAACATCTACGTATACCTCGCCCAGTCGGCAACGAGGACTGTAAATGTGTCCTGAAAAACAGAATATTCAATAGTAAAAATGTTTAATATACGTACATCCATAATCAGAGCTATAATACTGGAGAAATTCGTAGATTGCAAGTGTTTTTATTCGCATCGCAGTGTTTCATCCGCATAGCAAAATAAACATGCCAAACAAAAATTGCGCAAGCTTGTTACAAACAAAGAAATATAAACTATGTGCTGAATGTGATTGAATAATACAAGATTATCAACACATCTAATAATGTGTCAGAAAATAAATGAATTTTATCTCACCGTCCAAGGTCACATTGCCTGCAGAGATATAGGCACAATTATCGTTCTTCAAAGTAACGTTATTGACTATTGAGGAATACTGTATGTTATTGGTGTTACTGTAGCAGTACTGTGGTATGTGCCAATGCTCGCAAACCGTCTGCCACATTTTAGGCGACGTCATATCACAGTTCATCTGCAAATAAATACATATAATATGAGTAATTAAAAATATATGAAAGCAATGTCTGTTCACTTTAAAATGGTACATGTTGTTTGTTCCGCGATTGCCGAAAGATTCACAGTCACGTGTTAGGTAAAACAAAATTCCATTGATATGGGCAGTAGATGCTACTTTGTTGTGTGATTGAATGAGTTATATATTCTATAATTTAGTGTATAATAAAATGTAAATAAATAATTATCGTCAACTGACGAACTTGTGGTTTTAAGTTAAATTCTCACGAGAACGAGAAAAATGGGAACGATGATGTAGGTACGATGTCGCAAAGTTTTGTTACAACGCTAGAATAGCCAGTTTAAAACTCTGAGAATAAAAGGTGTTATATTATGTCATAATACTTACTTCACACTTTGACGTAGCATTGAGGCTTAAATTACTCAAGTAATCAACTTTACAATTGTCCACCGCATCTTTACTCTTATAACAACTTTGTAACATAGTAATACCACCATCGCAATCTAATTCAACCGACAAGGCTCTGTTTTCTGGTATTAAATATATTGCTCCAAAACTGATAATAGTTATTATTTGAAATAAGATAAATATTAATTTTTGTTTCTTAAATCTGTAAAAAAACAACACAATTTACAATTTGGGAAAAGTGTGATTAGTTTTTGAATTATTTTAGAAGATATATATTATTTCATATTAAATACTACTGTAGGTAACCAATTACCTTACCATTGAAAACCCCACTCGTTACCTAGTCATTTTTCTCAGCAGAGGGGTAATGATCAATGACGAACCAGTGGCTGATGATCAGACAAATTACAAATAATAAGAGTACGTAAGTAAGTAGTCTCTGTTGCTATGTGAGTTGGTCGTCATTTAATCAATCTCTGTTCACAACTTTCCATGTTCCATGACATAATAATAAATTGATTCACTGAGTTCAGTGGCCCAAGTATGTATGTCTTATGATGTATTTTATTACGTAAGACAGCCATGTAGGTACATTTTATTTTTATAGAATGTCAAGTTTTCAGTAAGTATGTAGGTACCTACTTGCTTCATACATTGTTGTTTATTTAACCTTAAAATTGTGTATTTACATTCGAAATTATCTCTAATACCTAGTAAATCTAAATGTGTACTTTAAAAACACGTTTAGTTCATATAGCACAGATATAATCAAATTATCTACTTCGGTTTAAGATGTCATAATAGTATATAGAGTAGATTAAGATAAGTAAATTATGTGATAAAAGAGTGCTAAGAAACAAAACTATAATCTTACCTGTCGGCAATAACTCCAAATAGGGGTTTTGCGATAAGACCAAATATGGGCAGTACTGTGTAAATTAATCCTACTGTGGCAGATGAAAATCCTAATTGACGCGCATAAGTTGATAAGTATGGTACAAGTGGTGCAGTACCTGAAAGTAAAACAAATCTTTGCACTACCACAGAAATGTAATTTTTTTTTGTATTTAATGTAATGTAGGTTTTAACACCATTGTCATAATTCATGATGAAATGTCTAGTTTCCATTAGTTGTCAAAATTAAATTGTCTCTCAATCAGTTGGTCAGTGTTGATCAGTGAAGCTAGGCGCTTGTTCTAAAGTATAGCTTCATACGAATGAGAACAAGGAAAAAACCCAAGACTCTTTTAAAAAGATTAACAAAATATATGGGGGCCATTTGGTTAAATTGAACTAAAAAGAGCATGTTTGAATGTATTATTGTATTGCTATGTGTGGTTGTTATCAAAGTTTCTAATTATACCATAATTTCACAGTATACACAGTTATAACATTATACTGAATTGTATACCCAATCCATTTGATAATTTATATTACTGATAACAATTTAAAGCTTGATATAAATTATAACTATTTTTATTGGTACATACACAGTCTTGACTTAATAACATTTTATCATTTGTATAATGGTAGATCAATTACTGTTACATACATATTAAGAATTGAACTGTTTTTAGGCTATGTATGTAGGTATACTTTATTTCGCAGCAGTAACTATTAAGACTGATTTATTAATAATGACACAATGGTGTCGTTAAAATATGATTAATATTTAGGTTGAACATTACTCAACTATGGATTGCATTTTTATTATTTATTTGTTTTCACTTTAATAGGTATGGATATGGTGATAACAAAGTAATTCAACCCTCAAACATACACACAGATGGTATCATTATTATGTGTCACTAAGCCATGTTTTGATAATGGTCTATACTAAAAATACAAACTTAATCAACCAAATATGTGTTTACGCTTTAAAGTTAGGTTATATCACAAGATAACAATAAATACGAAAAATATACAAATTGTACAGATATTAAAATTATAGGAAATTACATTTTTCATACTAGCCACAAGTGTTTTATTTTATTTTCAGTAAATGCATATTGAAGTGGCAGAATGTTACAGCAACATATTTCTTACAATGCAATTGGCACATTGGCTTTGGCACATAAAATAATAATAGTTATCAAAATGCCCGACTTGTTCTTAAGTCATTGCTGAAACGAATAGAAATATAATATGTTTTAACTGCTCAAGCTCAGCAGTCACCAGTGACCGCTAACTCCATTATAGATTATTTCTGATGTTTAGAGACAACTTATGTATGAACAAATTTTTGATATGATATATCAACATATTAACTAGGTATGATTAATTACTAGACCTTAATGATTTAAAAAAGAAATAGTAACAGACTACATGCTATCAGCAATTTCAAAAAGACACAATACTTACATTGCCTAACTCATAAGTATCGTTCAAATTTTATGTAAAACTCATGTTTTAAAGCAAGTTTCACTTACCAGCATTAAAGAAAAAGAAATGACCCTTAATGGGCAATAACTTTTTATTGATTTGCATCTTTGAAGGCAGCATTTAAAATCTACAACAAAAAAATGTCGTTAAAAGATGTCATCACATACTTTGTAAAAAAAAAACTTAAACTTAACTTTTTTCTTATTAGACAGTATTTCAACACTCAATTAAAAAAAAAAGATTATAAGTTGAACTTAATTGGTTAAGAACTGTACACATCATTTTGTTACAGTTATATTAAAATAACATTATATTTATCCAAGAATCCAAGGATCCAAGAATTTCTAAATATAAACTAGAATAAGTACATAGTAAATTTTGAAAACAATATTTGATTTTAGTATGCACAGAGTCTATCGAGTTTGTTATATTCGTATTCTACTTTTTGTACAAACTTCTAAGAAATGAACATTAGAGCACATGTTCTAATGCTTAGCTAAGTAAGTATTTTTGTTTTGTTTCTTAATCATAACATGTTTATTTAACAAAAAAAACTTTACTAAACTAAACAAAAAAGAATGACGATTTATAGATATTATATTATAGAAACTTACAACTTCTTTCTTTTTCAAATTAAAGTTTGGTTGCTGGTTGTATAACTTGTAAACACTGCACTATACCAGGGACGCGGCTTATAAAACTGATAAAGTTATCTATTAAAATGATAACCACTGAGTGAAATCTATCGACCTCGTTAGTGGATTTGCTTGGAAGCAGGCGACCGACCAGCGCCAATAGAAAATTCATCTGATATCATGATTACATTATTTTCCAATAAAAACACGTGCAGCCAATGAAAACAGAAGAAACATTGACACCTGCCTACCTGACAATTGCCATTGACACTTGACAGTTTGTCAATTGTCACTTCATAAAGTTGCCACTGTAGAAATATATAAACTTGGATAAATGTGAAATAAGGGTTTTTGAAAATTGAGGATTATAAATCACTGAATACGTAACATACGTATTCGTTTTGTTAGAAAAATATAATTAAAAATATGAATCGACTCGAATCACATTTTTAGTTACCTTTTTAATGTACCTTAAGAAATTACTTTAAATTTTTTCTGAAATTTAAAAACACCGCAACAACGACCTTGGCTTTCGCCGTTTTTAAAATAACCAATATTAAGCGTAGGACAGCCATGTTTTCCATGATAATGGGCTCACAGAAAACTAGCATGAAAATAAACGCTTTTTATCTCTGTGTAAGTTTTGGAGGTCTATTACTCCCCCCAATGCTCAAATTCGAAGCCCCCAAGAGGGCAGAAACCAACAATTAGATTAAAGTTAGATTAAATAAGGCCTTGGCGCAGTTGGCTTTGGGCCCTCGTACGTCTTCCAAATGACCGGGACCCTGTATACCCTTGATTAATTCTACTACTATTTGTAACGGCTTACGTAGGTAGTAGGTAGAGACGTAATGCAATAATAAATGGCGCTATGGGTTTAATCGACCCGTTTCCTACGAAATAGTTGATCGGATCGATTGCTAGTGCGGAACGATTATATTTATAACTACTCGTAAAATATTTATCACACAAATCGTAACATATCAAACGCATCATCAATTATGCTGGCGTAGTAGAAATGACTTCGTTCATCTGTAACACAAGGAGTTTCCTGAAACATAAACAGATTTCATGTAGAACCGAGTTGTTGCTAGGCCTACAAATTCAGCCCTAAATCTATAAACCCCAAAACACTTAAGTTGGAACAGAATACTAGAGTCGTAGCTCGTAGCTTGTAGCTCATAGCGTGTAGTTCGTAGCGTGTAGCGTGTTATTCGTAGCGCGTAGCAGTGTTTTCCCATAATAGGTGAGTAAACCGTGGACACAACTGGTAACCTAAATAAAATCGCGTGGCACTTTGTAGGTCTACGAATTTTATACCTTAAATGGGAAATGCTGCTTTACACTACAAACTACGCACTATTAGTAGTGCGCGTAGCCTACTACGCACTACGAACTACGTTCTACGGCGATATAAGGCTGGAGCACTTCGCTGTAAAGGCTTATAGAGGTTTAGGGCTGTGCGTGTAATTTTATTTTATTTTAATTTGTTCATTTATGTGTATCAGGTAACGAAGGCCTATATTAAAATACAATAATACTAATAATACCTACTAAAATTTTAACTTAAAATACTATAAATACATATTGTTTAGTAACTGTGTATTTCATAAGTTGCTTACGTTGTTGTTTAATATAGAGATAAAGAGCTATAGATTTAGAAGTAGTTCATTTGAATGTTGCAATAAAAACTGTTTAGATTTAGCCTTACCGAAGGTTTTATGCCTATTTAGATGAAGTTTTGAGCGTATACAGTATTCACAAATTGACTAACCGATTTTTCAATCGTCATATAAGATTATCATCGCTTATTAGTCAGTTATTTATCATCACCAGATAAAAACAGAGGAGTAACTTTAAATACTTCATAATTCTTCCATATTCAAAACTGTCAAATGTCAATTTTATTAAGTTCTACAGTTAAGGATTAACTGATGATTAAATAATTGGTGCTAAATTATTGAATAAATAAAGGATGGATACCCATCCGAACTTTAACATCACTTTATAATGTTGGGGCTTTTGGTTCAGTCACTTAACTAATTATATTTAAATGCATATCTATTATACAAAAATAAATACGCAAAATACATTAGCCGAAAATATCAATGCACATACCTATCTTATCCATTTATTATGATACTAGCTATTGCCCGCGACTTCGTCCTCGTAGAATATGAATTTTAGAACTCATACCTTTTTTGATTTTCCAAAGTAAAAGTTGCTTATGTTACTCCTCAGAACCTACATAAGCTACCTGCCAGGGAAAGTCCCGTCAGTCCAGCTATTGCAGAGATTAGCCAGTACAAACAGATAGACAGGCAAAAATTTGTGTGAAAATGTAATTTTGGTATAAATGTAAGTACCGTATGTATATTCATATGCATGTAGTAAAAAGGTTATTTCAATATTACAAACAGACACTCCAATTTTATTTATCTGTGTAGATTATAAAGAGTACCTAAGTGTTTTTTATCTATGTTTGTAACGTTTTTTACACAAAAACTACTGTTCCGGTTTTAACAATAGGGTAGTTTCCTAAATTTTATTTTAATGTCCGTCTGGTAGGCACATTAATTTAAAACTTTAGACACGTGATTTTTTTTCTCACAAAATAAATACATTCTACGATATATTAATTTGAAATATCGTGTGACGTCACAGCATACAACATTTTGTAGCACGTTATGACGTACCAACCCCCACTTCAAAACTTATTGCCTAATATTTTTTGATTATCTAACTGATGGACTAATTACATTTTTAATTTTGATACCCTGGAAACTACCCAATTCTTTCACCAATAGAAAACAGCATCATTACTGAAAAATAAAGCTGAAAAATACTACTTACATTGAAAAAAATAGGGATCCTACGTAAACATTCAATAATGTAAACAAAGGTGAAAATATGATTTAAGTACCACAAAATGTCTTCCATAGCTATATTTTATAGGTACTAACTGGTACAGTTACGTCGCTAAAATACGTCACGAAGACGTGGCCTTTGTGGGGAGGAAGCATAAATATAATAAAGATTTTTTTTGATTTCTGTGGGAGGAGGGCACTAAAGTCTGCTTTAAAACCACTTTTAAACGCGGGCACAAGCTACTAAGCCAACTATAATAAAGGACCTTACAAGAAGAACTATTTAACATAATATTAATTTGCATACATATATAGCATCACGTGTTTTATATCCGAAGGGGTAGGCAGAGGTACACATTATGGCACTTAACGCCACTGTCCCATGTAGCACTCACTTTTACTATTTATGTTATGAGTCCCATGTAATAGGGGGTGAGCCTATTGCCATATACCGGGCACATTTCCAGAGTTCGTGCTACTACTGAGGTTTTTTTTAAAAACCCAGTAATACTTTGTCCGACACGGGAATCGAACCCGAAACCCCTTATCTGGCAGTCGCCCTTGCGACCACTCGGCCAACGAGGCAGTATCAATTTTTAAACCATGCTATTGCATGGCTTGTGACTATGCTATGGCATTAAAAGAAAATTTAGCAAGACTTATACTTTTACTTTTAGTTGCAAGGGTTCTAAATAAAAGTTCTAAATTTTAGTTTTTTTTTGTTTATACACAATGGTTAAAAACCAAGTACTTACTATTTTACTCGACTTTGGACTAAAAAGTTTCCCCATGCAGTATTTGAGAAATGGTAAGGTAAGAAAGGTATTATAATTATCTAAGTTTTATAGTTTCTCGTTTCTACCTATTTGGATAAGGGTCAGTTGTCATAATTATTATTTATTGCGGTTACATAAAAATAAACAAATAAAAGTAATATTAACTACGAGTACAAACTACTATTTTATTTCATGTAGTGTCCACATACCTCTATATATTCGTAAAGAAAGTAGGTAGTATTTTAGTATTACTCAAAGCCAAATGGTCAGAACTAAAAAAGATTCATCAGAATTAGTTCACAAACGCCGGAGTAATCGGGTAACATACAAAAAACATACAGCCGAATTGATAATCTCCTCCTTTTTGGGGAGTCGGCTCACTCATTGGAGCCAAAATGGTCCCGTACAGTTCGGTTTCAGAGGAATTTTCTCCCACGGACCCTCCGATTGTGGAATGAGCTCCCTGCCGTGGTTTTCCCAGTGGGCTACAACATGAGGTTCTTCAAGAGGGCAGTGAATAGGTTTTTAAGGGTCGGCAAGACGCATGTAATGCCCCAAGTGTTGCAGGCGTACATAGGCCACGGTAACCGCTTACCATCAGGTGGGCCGTGTGCTTTTCTGCCACCGTCGTGATATAAAAAAAAACTCAAATGTATTCTTGCCACTATATGACCATACCTTCCCTCTTCTCTGTAGGTACAGTAGACTGTCAAGAGGTGTTGATGATGCAAACATTATTCTACATTTATGCAAAACAGGACAGGCAGTCTTAATTTCAAGTTTCCCGGTCATACATAAGTGCCAATTGGTTTTTCAGTTTTGTAACAGAATGTAAATGATAGATAGTAGACGGAAACGGCGCCATTCTATCCCCGTGGCCGTTAAACCTGCGCCTGACCACGCCAATCGTGTCAAATTACTGTCCCATTTGATTAGTCTGCACTCACTGTTACACCATTAACAATACTAATCGTTAATCATTGGACGATGGTAAGTATAATTACCACCGACTATAATTCCTCACATATGGCTACTGATTACCTATAATTACACCAATTGCATAATAGGTAATATCGCCTATAGCTGTGGTTGCAAAACTCGGGGCTCACTTCTAGGAAATTCAACCGATACCGAATAAAAGATGGGATAGACATTGAAATTCGCTCGCTACCCTCCAACGGGTTGTAAAACCAATTAGCAATAGCAACCACTATTCGCCAGTTCGTCACTATTAGGTATGCATTACAAAAATGAGTGTGCATTACTGTGCATGTTGCCTTACATTGGATACAGTTTCCGATTTAGCATACGCTGCTACGAAATATCTTCAAAAAGTTAGAAACAAGTCGTACTGCTTTTCCTTACCGGGAATTGAACCTGAGGTTAGCAATCCTACTCGAACAACAGAACAGTATCCAGTTCAATTTTATGGTCACGATTAAATTTGCTATCAGACTATACTAGATCAATATGTTTTGTTTGAAGATCCGAGTGTATCTATTATTAACTAGGAAGAGTAAACAAACAAGTCAAAGTGTACTCGTCTCGAACAGCCAACAAAAGGCCGGAGGCGGGGGCTACGTGATAAATAGAAACCTTTTTTTTAAATATTCTAACGTTAAAAAGAAGAAAATTAAGGAGGTTAGAGACGCGTCTCGCCAAACTTCCAAGTGATTGCTATGCGGCTCCTCCTTCCCGTGCTATTGGCGTTGGGCGGCACAGCTCCGCCAATGAGACCGCGTTTAGCCCCACTCATTGCCATTTCATATTACTAAGATTACGTTTTCCTTGATTTAGAAAAATGCCCATTTTTCAACAATTATGACATAAATATGCAGTGACTATTGCGCAATGAGAGACGCCAGGTAATTGTTGAACTACGGAAAGGAATGGATCTAAAAGAGACTTTTCCCTCGAGAGTATGTTTTCGATGTTAGAGGTTGGGTAATTAACCACATATTAAGGTGAATTCAACAGTGTGAAGACGCCTACACAGCGGCGGCAGGCATCGAGCTTTACGTTGATGTGCTCGAAGCGTGAGAGATTCGTTCGTGGAGTATTTGAGTCAGTCCACTGGTAGGCCACGGTGCGCGTCACTCGCATCGCGCTCCGTTATACACCGCTTGCGTCGACCGTCCGACATCCGAAGTCGAATTTGCGCCCGCCCGCCCAGAGTGCGCTAAATTTGTAATTTTAAAAAGATACTGCAATAATATTCACAATTATTGTTTAAATTTTTGCCAAGTTGAACAATTGTGTTTCATAACAAACGGACAAGTTAATCAGAAGTGCATAGTAAACTTTTAAATACTTTCTCAAGTGTTTTGACAAGGATGTTAATTTTATAAGGAGATTTTTGGATTTCAAGACGGCAGTGGAGAATTTACTTCGCCCTGAAATAGAAAAAGTGGGTGAGTACAGTTTATAAATGTAAAACAATGAAATATATCTACTTACCTATCTACATTTGACTTTCCCCATGGGACAAAGATGTTAATTAATTGAATACATGTGATATTTACAATTTGTGTTAACCATTTTAATCTGGCAAAAGATGGTTGATTATAACAACTTCCTTAATATAATATTGTACACTACTACATTACCAGCACTTATCTAGTACTACACTTCCTTCGCCAATTTATAATCCACTAAATCTATACTAAAGTAGATATTCATTGACCAACAAGCTGGTTTAATATTATGAATTTGTGTACGAAACAAATAGTTTAAACTTTCTTGAAAACTTCCTGCCATCTTTTGATTTATTCTTGCTTATATTATTATTACTTGTAGCTGATTTATACCTGATTTAGTGCAGTTTACTTTTATTTAAATTCACATAATAAGTACTTCCGTTTCGGACGTGAATATATTTGCGACGGCATTAAACCGTCTCAAACTGTATCAGTCTGAGTCTGCAAGCAAATCAGATTAATTAACTACAAAATAAAACATACACGTAACATATAAACGTTTTCCATGGTTGTATGTATGATCCTGGCTTATAGGAGTTGCAACTGGTTTAAGAGCTTATGGTGGGCTTGTCTCAATAAAAAATAAAACATGTAACTTTTATATGATTAGTATTATTTGTACATTATACAGTATAACACACTCTTGAAGGCTACAATCCTTCGAGAAATTTGGAGTGTGTGCATTAATAACTAAAGTAACTAATAAAGTAAAACAAATATTGTGTTATTCATGAGCTACTTACTGCTGTTAGATTTTACTTGCCTATATTTCAATTTTAAGATTGACTCACAAGATTATTCACATACATACTTAAACACAAACAGGCTAATTTTCAATGATATAGTTAAGCCTAAAACAGGTATTAAGTTACTTTATTGATAATAATTATTTTATTACAAAACAATTTCTCTTTCGCGTCGATCTGTTTGTATGAGCGCGATAAAGGTAGAAACTATCTACTGGACAGTTTCATACGTTTTCAGTATTTACTAACCGATAGTAGTTATTGAAATTTATTTTGGTTATACGTGAGCAAAGCTAGCTACTATTAATTTTATAACAAATATTGGCGGATTAATCGGAAGTGCTTTTAAAAGACAATGTTTTAAAGTTAAAGGTAACATACATCTGCTATTAAGGCAATGTAAGTACATGCAGAGTACAATAATAGCCATTCCAACAACATTCTGTAATGAAATACTTAACTGCATTGTAGTACATCAATATGTACGCCTGCAACTTACTACTGACATTTTTCAATAGAGAATTAATACATATTATATCACTAACACCTCTCTAAACATGGTACAGTATTTTAATAACTATATCCCTATTGAAAATCAAGATTCACTTTAAGCTTGAAAACTGAAGATGCATTTTAGTATACGTACATGCTTTTCATAGATTCTAAGTTGTGGTTAGGATTGTATTAATTTTGAAGATATGACCTACTTAAATTGTGTCTTACCAATGTATGTTGTATACATCCGTTCCATAATCACCTATTATTATAATCTACTGTTACTGTACTCACAGATTATAGAGTCTATGCAGGTAGTTTGATTTGATAAAATCTATTTGAAATAAGCATATTCCCGAAATGACAAAAGAAAAACTGCTCTGAAACCCTTGTATTTCCTAGTAGAGACCATGAAGATTTTTTTGAATTACTATTTGTAAAAGTATCATAAAACATATATATAAAGATTTAAACCTAGATATGAATAACTTCTTAAAACTACAAAATATTAATTCTATGTAATGTACCTACCTACTAATTATCCAATTTTGTCTGAAATCTAACATTTTGGGTACTTATGTAAGTATATTTTTATGAACCGTTGGATAATGAAATATCAGTATAGATAGGTAATATTGAAAGTATCTACTACCTAAATTTTATACTAGACAACAGCAACAGTGAGTTAGCTTCTACTTGATATATTACAATACTATACAGCAATGCTATAAAAATTCTGTAGATTTCATGTTCGGATTAGATCTTTTTTTTCAGTTCTCATGTTCCATTTGCGCACATATCAGATTTTAGATTTGTATTCCCAGTTGGTGTATTTTCGAATAGGTAGATATTTTTTTAAATACCAGTTTCTAAATTGATTTTGTCTACAGTGGCCCGGAGTACCGATGGGTCGGGCCTCGATGGAGGCTGCGAAGACGACGTCTCGCGGCTGACTCCAGGCCTGCATCCAGAAACCACCTTCGACATGAACGATCTGCCGTCGAACACCTACACGTTGGACACTCGCAGAATGCAATTATATTCGCATCCACACGTACATCCCACGGTGAGTCAACGCCTTTGTTTCAGGTACCTCCGGTTGACATAGGTGAATCTGACACAAAAGGAACGTCACGTATAGAATTTTCTCGCACTTGATTCTGGCGAGGTAAAAAGTAAAGCTGATATAAAAAGTCGTTGTTTACCCTCTACATGATGATCGAAGTAGGCATGTGGAGTAACATTTGTGACGTCTTTTACTGCGCTGCCTTGACGTGTATCAAGTGAACTGGAGACATTAAAAGGTTAAAGGTTCGTTGCTAATCTGTTTCTTTCATGGAAAACATTACGCTTAGCGCCAGGAAACAAAACACATTCAACGTGTCAAATAAAACGGCAAAAAATGTGTTCCCAACTAATATGAATCGTATAAACCGAAGCAAAACAAATCCGTCTTTAAACCATAAAAACGTTGACGGTTATAACAAAAGCACAACGTTGAAAAGATGAAATGCATTGCAAGGCGCGAAAATAAGAATAATTTGAAGGTATACACCGGCTGGGGAGTAAGGTTTCCACTTTGAAAGTGGCCATTCGATTCGCCATCGTTCCTCTACCAGTTCACATGAACAATACTTTTTTATTCATACTTCCAGCCCCTGTAATTTCTATTATGTTAATCATTAAAATTGTAATGATTATGTATGTATTGTATAAATAATAAGTTATAGATAAACTAGGAACTAATTACGATATCCGTAAACCGTAAGCGTGTGAGTACACAGGTTTTCATAAAGTTAAATCGTTTATTATTTCGTAAACAAACAATGAGACACACTTGATTTGTAAATAAATCATGTTCTCTCGTATAATTAATTTATTTTAATAATATAATTACATTCATAATAGTTAGCCGTGATGATGACGTTAAGCAGCCCAGCTCCGCGCTATCGCAACACTGAACTCGTGTTATCAAAGATGTCTTCGTCACCATCCGTTACATCACCGACCTTGTTTGTTTGACTTTTTCTTACAATTTTATCACTGTTTTTAAAGTTAACTGATTTTCTATTTCTATTGATTCCATAGCTGTTAATAACATATAAGTAGCTTATTAATAAAATATCACTTAATTAATACTTTCATGTTTTATTCTGCCACCAATTATTTTTCGGATAAAATTGGTCATATTCTTCACTTGTTGGGTTGAGCTTCCTCGTATATTTCTATGGATTAAACTATTATCGGATAACTAGTCAGTGATTAATTAAACCCTTTTTTTTAGAACTTATAAAGTTATAAGTACAATAGAATTTGGTCCGTAGATAAACTTTGGAAACGTTCATTATAGTGGCACAATTTTATGAAAATTAAAGCAATTACGACCGAAGCAGAGTTTTATCAAATAACCCTGACATAAGTTCATCGCGAACCGAACAACAGATTGTCAATAAAATTCAGTAGGTATCATATATTGTATTGTGGCTTATATTAACTGTTTATAAAAAATAATATATTACATGTAAGAAAATTCTAAGCTTGGTCTTGTAAAGGCAAATACTTAGTTAATAATAGTAAGATATGTTATTGTTATAAAAATGATTGCCTATATGTTATTACCTAGCGCTTTTATAAGTATCTATAATTGTAGAATCTCACTGCATTTACCAGTTAGATAATATAGATAGTTCTCGTTGCTTATATTACAGATTTTATAGATTGAGGTTGATTAGATTGCTGATAACAACTGGTGGTTTGTTGCAATGTGGATATTTGAATTCCTCAGAGAAGTGCACATAACAAACCAGCACTTGAAATTATGGTAGTACCAATGTTGCTACCTAATATTGTGAGGGACACACACACACACAACATCACGCCTTTTATCCTCGAAGGGGTAGGCAGAGGTGGACATTATACAACTGTACAATGTAACACCCAATTTTCACTATTTATGTTATGAGTCCCATGTAATAGGGGGTGAGCCTATTGCCATATACCGGGCACAGTTCCAGACTCCGTGCTACTACTGAGAATTTTTTAAAAACCCAGTAATACTTTGCCCGACCCGGGTATCGAACCCGAGACCCCTTACCCGGCAGTCGCAATTGCGACCACTCGGCCAACGAGGGACACTACATATTTAATTTGTCAGACCTGTATACGTTGCTTAAATTCTACCATGAGCTACAAAAAGTGTATTTATCTACATTACCAAAACACTGTAAATATTAAAAAAAGAAATAGCTGTCTCTCCCTTCATATATAATTTTATACATTTCAAATATTTAACTTCGATGCAGTATCTTCTACTTAAATAGGTTAATTTTAAAAACTGTTCTCTATGTACATATCTATAGAAAGATTTAAAAAAAATACCTATAATTTTATGCGCGTTGTTTTAAAGATCGGTTTTCTGTAAGACTGAAGTCATCCAATCCACCGCCCGATATCGATTGCATTAGAATTATCTCGATCTTTCAGAATGTATTATGTAGATGCAAATGCATTACATTATTTATATTTACTTCGATTTAGGTGATAGTTTTATGCTTAGCCTATGTTTCGGTATGTGTGTGTTACATAATTATTATCGGTATTCATTTTAGCTCATCACAGCATTATGATGGTAGGTAGCTACATATAGAGGTATATGTATATGTAGGTAATAAGTAAGCCTAATTAACTGTATAGGTATAACATTTACCGAGCTCATGTATTTTAGTAATATTTTAAATATAAAAGATTTCTTATTTTACGAAATCTGTGCTAATCTTTTATTTACAAATAATATAAACTTAAATAAAATAAATACTAACTATTACTATACTATATACAATTTAAGAGACTGCCAGAATTTAAAACCTACCTATTTGGTGTTCAGCTAAATGCGGGTTGACGATACTCATATCTAATTAAAATATGACTAATCTAATAAGGTAATTCATATTGCTATCTATAATGCTCAATAAAATTGTAAGTAAAATTTAACAAAACCATAAAGACAGGCCATCGGAGTAGTTAGGTATAAGCATGTTTGAAATATAATTTCATGAGCTGTGAAGTGAACATAAATGCTGCACTAGCGCGACGGGCGAGCGATGACGTCGACTCAGCTGCTTCGGCACGCGGCGACTCGAATGACTCCGTTGTAATTCGATCAGACCCTGTGACAAATGTGAAAAGTATTACGTTTTTAAAGTGCGCCCGTGTGCTCTTGCTACCGTCTAAAGTTCTCTCGATACGACCCAATCGTTGCATGTACCAATATTTTTATTTCACACTTGATTTTTATATGTTTTCGTTTGAATTTGCTGCATTTAAAATCGAATCGAATTTAAATCGAGATCAAGAATAATATATTAAGTATTTTGAATGCAGGTCGTTCACTCGAATTATGACTTTATACTACGGACCTACTTACCTGTATATTCAGGTAGAGTTCTGACTTTACTCTGGTACTAACTGATTCGCACTGTTGGTAGACGTATCACTTAAATACATGAGTCTAAGTTATGGTCCGTACAGGTACAGACTAGGAAAATTCGTCCCTTATTAATCTTTTGATAAGGTAAACAGTACCTAGTAAAGAGTACCTAGATATAATTCATAATGTTGCAACTGACCTCAATTAAATAAAGCGTAATAGTAAATACTTGATATCAATGTTATAATAATGACAAAACTGAAGGTCGATCGTCAACTTCTTTGTATGCATTTTGTGAATATTGTGTTGACGCGACGGAAGCTACTCCTTGTGAACGTGTTTAAATATCTATATTAAATATGTTTGAGCAAATGTAGGTAATACCTACTTGATACAAAATGTCTTCTTGCTATGAAATGTTATGACCCCCATTTTTACCATCTCTTAAAAAAACTGAATTCAAAATAGTCAATACCAAAGTTCATGCACTGCATTTTGGCTCAGTGTGTCGTTCAGTAACTATATTGTGCAAGGTTATGGTATTATGGTACCTACAATAAATAACATTGTTGACTTTAATCACGCCAATACAAATGTCTGTTGGTGTTAAGTTAATGAAAACTGATACTTGTCTTCATAATGCACTTTTTGTGACTAATTGTCATCCATAGGGAGTTTCATACATTGCTTTTTGTATTAACGTAATTTAACAACATGCTTTTGTTTTTTAAATGCTTAAATTCTTCTAGATACGATTTAAACCGTAAAAGACCAGTCTCTGGTTGTGGTGTGCGGCTGGATATTAAGTCCTGGAATAGTCATTTTCATTTGTAATTGGATTTTTATGCACGACACATAGCTCAAAACAAGACAACAGCCAAAGAATAATTGATATTATTGATCAATGTTATGTTTTAGTCTAAAATTGTGCTACGCATTTGGTAGGTTCTCCACAGTATTAAAAAATGTGAACGGAGTAGTAACATATTTTTGATCCATTATCATGTTTAATATTCTTAAACTGCACCAAACCAAATTATTTTTGTCTATCAATATGTAGTTGGTACTGACGTACTGTCTTCCTTTATGGAATTCAAAGATATCATAATTTTAACAAGTACCTATATGGGGTTAACTTTTGTAGTAATAACTCTGTTAGCTCCTTCTACGTAATTTATGTTATTGATTACTTCATGATGGCTTTCCTTATCTGCTGCTCCAAATTCCTACCATGACTAGAGAACCTGCTCAAAAGATGTTTATATAAGTACCGATACCATTCTCAATTCGACGAAATATGTAATACTAGCTACGTGTGACAGAATACCGAATTACTCAGACATTAGTCTACAATCAGTTTTTTTTATGAATAGTACATTTATAAAAGTTGTCTTTTATATTTTAGAACCATGCCTTTAAGACATGAAAGAGGTTTAGGTAAGCATTATTTGTACCTATTGTTTAAAAGCAAAATACCTACCTACTTATTTAACATAAGGACGCCATGCACAAGTCACATTGTGTTAAGAAAATGCGAAGCTACTCAAAGTAACCTGCACGTGCAACATAATGTTCAGTGTTTGTACATTCGTCCAGTGATCGTGGGTGGCCCTGTTCTACTTTTTTACATATGTATATTTTACTCAAGCGTCAACTTTCATTCGGAACTTACCTCCAACCGAGATTCAATCTTAAATAAGGGATGTAAAGAACTAAATGAACTGATAAGGCTAAAAAGTAACTTATCGGAAATATTGCTAAGCCATACAGCTAATTCAGTTCTGTACAACATACAATGGGCCTATTTCACGAGCCAATTAACTTTGTAGCATTTTTATTGGTTTTATTACACATGTATCAAATGTCTTTTAGATAGAATTGCTTACAGAATTGGAAGTGTCGTATAAGGTTGGCTTTGCTTATACCTGTACCTGTACTACACCCGAATACTGAAAGAAAGTTGCACTTGAATATCGTGCCATCTTTGATTTCTGTCAAAAGTGGCGTTTGATTATTTGGACTTTAATAGGTACAGTACATAATATTATGTGGTAGCAGTCATAGGTACAAGTTAGAAATATTCTAAGTATCTTACTAATAGTAATGTCGTGGTGGCCCGGTGGTCAAGACGCCCGCTTCTTGTGCATGAGGGTGCGGATTCGAAACTTACCAACGGCAAGTACCAATGTGACTTTGATTATAATATATTTATAACTATATTTATGTAACCAAAGAAAGCAACTTGCACCCGAATACTGGAAGGTTAATAAATTTTAAGTAGTACCTATTTAAATATCGTGCCATCTCTGACATGTTACAAGGAATTTGTTGGGACAGAACTATGTTTCAGAATTCAGGCGTTTAACCTTACAGCTCGGAGTTGTACGTATCTAAGAGGACTACCTACGTACCCAAGAGGGACAGGGACATATAAATATCACGTCATACGAAATCCTCTAAATTTAATTTGCTGCTTGTAATTTAAAAAAATGTTTATTAGGGAAGTACCTATGATAAGTAGTAACACACAGACCATAAATATAATGTCTGTTGATTCGTTGGTCAATCCGTTTTTGGATTTTTTAATACCACCTTG